GAAAATTAAAGTTACTTTGTAATGGCATTCAACAAAGGCACATGTCTGCCCACAAGAAGAGATGCCATCACTGTGAACACATTGCTGAAAGACATTGACTGTAAAGAATAAATTGCATTACAAAACTCAAACCCTGAAATTGTTAAAACATCAAAACAGTTCAAAAACAGAAATATCTTCTAATTACTTTGCCACATACATTACTTAATTCAGTACTGTGAATAATTCACTGTTTGTACTGTTTGCCTACAGGCTAAAATACAACTGAAGATTCCCTCAAGCCTTGAAATGTAGAAAGGTGAGTATCAATGACTGCACATAACCTAAGGACTACAGGCTAAACATGCAACTAAAGATTCCCTAATGCTTTAAAACAAAGCAAACAATCACTAGCTCACCAGAAGAGAAGTCCATGGAAAGGGAGCCCAGGCACGTAACAATCTCAACAGACCTTTATTGTGAGTATTAGAATGCAGTCAACATTATTGCTATTATAAAAAACAAATCACAGAAGGAAGTATTTTGCTTCTCTCACAGAAGATTTAATCATAGTGCAGTGCTGCCTCTCTCAGAGTCTTTAGTGACAATACACTGATGCACGTGGCTACAGCTGAACACAGGAGGCTTGGCCAGTTTTCAGGAAAGGAAGACAGCTGTTTGAAGCAAACAGCAATTGAACTAGCTTTAGTTATCCCACCCACAGAGTAAGGGAAGGGAACTTCTGTCCTGAATGATTTTTCATGCTAGTTCATTTTCTCCATGTGGTCTCCAATTTTTCATTTGGGTTGTTCAGGCTGGTGCAGAATGGCTGCCAAATGCACAGTCTGCACTCGGTGCAGTGTATTTTCACCATCGTTACATGCTCTGTATTTGTTTTCCATATACAAACAGACATACACATAGTGTATAATATTTATTGCTAAAGACAGACCCCCACACCCAGTGCCCAGGACATAACAAAGGATAATAGAAACCATTACTGAAGCATTTCAAACAGCCTCTGCAAAATCCTCACCTAAAGCCATATGCAATCAGTACAACAGAAAAAAATTTGTGAGCCAATAAAATGTGAGAATAGCAATGGGTATTTCAAAAGTGATTAAGCCTCTGACTTTAATAAGCACTCCAAAATTAAGGTGCATATACTGAAACATTTTTAAGCAGTAGAGCAAAAACCTATAGTTCCAGTGTTCTAAACAATCCTGCTTGCAAATGAATGGCATCATTGCACACACCCCCTTTACACACCAGCACCTCCACAGAGCTACTAACAGGGCAAGGCAGCTGGGACAGCCTGACTGCTCTTTTGGCTGTGAAGCTCCTGCCTGCAGTCCTGCCCATTCTCCACTTACTGATTTTTATACCAAGCTCCAGTTCAGTTCAGGAACTGTTTTGTGCCTTTAGAGTTCCAGTGAAGAAAAATTGTTACAGCTTCCTTTTAAATACAAAGGAAAAATAGTGTAGTTTACAACATCAAATAGTTTTATAATTTCACTGAAATGTTTGAATGACTCCTTTGCATCCCAGCGCTCAGTTTGGTAAGGAGTGCTGGAGCCCAGCAGTGCCAGAGGGGTTTTGCTGTAATATTAATTCAAGTCTAGTTAAGTTAGAAGCCAGATGGGAGTAGAGGAAGATCACCAATTGCACAAGACAGAAGAGGCTTACTTAAGAAAGGCATCAAAAACACCTGGAAATTTTGATAATGGTGCACACACTCCAACTGTACACAAGTCCCAGGATGCTCTGGAGGCTGTGGACAGACAAGCCAAAGAGGCCTTTCCCCATGAGCTGCTTCCCACAGCAGCCAGGAAGAACTGGGCATGAAAACAAAGGAGTGACACCCTCCAGGCACCTCAGAAGCCAGAGTGCAGACAGCTGAAGAACAAAAGAAGAAAAAGATGCAAGCTGCAGAATGAATAGATGAGCACATTAGAAGGTCAGAGATAAAATTAAGAGAGAGAGGTGGCTGTCAGCCATACAAGATTACTGCACCCATGGAAGAACAGTTTCAATTCTTTGCCACCCAGCAAATACAGGAAATCCATCAGAAAATTGCAACCCATCTTTGTCTATTTGAGAGAAAATGACAGGCTTCTACCACTGTAAACCACTCCACAGCTGAACAAAGATCTATGCATCTAAGGCCAGAATATCCAAAATATGGGCACTATTTAACCTACAGCTACCCAAGAAAAGGGTTAACAGGAAGCATCTTCCAACCCATTCCCTGCAATACGACCTGAAGTATGTCCATTTTGTAACCAGAACGTGGCAGTCCCATCACATCATACCAGATCACAGCACCAACACCACACTTCATTTATGACTGCAGTACTGCTGTCCTGACATCACTGCAACTGAAACACAATTCCTGATGTAGATGCCCCTGGTATGGTCACAAGTAGGAGCAGGCTTTGAAATGAAATCACCCTGATATCTCCATTAAAAAAAACTAACAGGCAAACCCCTAACTAAAGCTCAGACAAAAAGCTGGGCATTGAAAGGCTCCAAAAGTTTGCCATTTAGCTCTGTGAAATCACAAGAGACTTCTGTAAAATGGCATTTCTCTTTTGTCTAATACTATTTAGAACTCCTATTCAGTGACAGAAGGCTTCAAATTTAAATATTTTGCCTTTCTGTGCACACATATCAAACAGTCCTTACATTGCCATATACTATTTTTTCCTCAGAGAGGGTCTGTCCCCTTCATCAAACAATGCAGTCACAATTCACACCCCAATAAATGATATTGCAAGTAGACTGAGTGTACATCCCTGGCTTATTTAGAGAGGAAGCAAGAAGATAGATGGAAAATTATGCCTACAGGAATAAGATTCTCTTGATCAAGGCCAACTAGGAAGAAATACTGGTAAGAGCCAGATCACACTGGGGTTGACTGGTACATGAGCAAAGCAATCAACTGTAAGCTACATTTTGTGCAAAACACTTAGCATTTTTATGGCACTTGACTTGTGTTTAAAAGAAAAACCTCAAAAGCATCCCAAACCTTTGAATACTTGAGAAGCTGGGGTCAGAAACTAATGTCCACATGTTACAGACCAGCACCATGACTTGAGAAAGCAAACTCAGACAAGTTTGTGAAACACTGGAGCAGGACACGATGTATCATACATAGCATGGTCCATACGGACACTGAGATTGTATTTCTTAGAAGATATGAATGATTGCAGGAGAGTTTTTATAATACATGACTACACAATGAACATTAAAAAAAATACTGAACAGATTGTTTTGCAAGCACAGTCCATCCTGAACAAGGCAGGATCTTGAGGGGTAAAATTACATATTTGTGTAAATTAAGAGGCCATTACACATACAAACAGAAGACACATTAAAGCTGCAAGGGCAACTTCAACTTTGACCTTAGGATTTCCTTTTCAGGATACCATTCCTCCACCTCTGTAGTAAGAATAAAACCTCTGTCCTCCCCCCCTGAACTTTCCAAGTCCATCTCCACCTTCAGTAACATTTACAATTATATTACATCACACACATGCACACACATTGCATAATATTGCTACAGTGTATGCTGTATAAATTCTGTAAATACACTCCACTTTGTTTCAAAGTAATTCATCTGGATTTACACTTCTCTTATACAGTACACACAGTACCACATTCAAGGATATGCAGCAAGTGAATAGTCTATAAAAAGTCTCACATATCCAAAAGCAAGTAGGTCACTCAACTATTCATGTTTGAAGCAGTTATTTATGCATCATCTATATCACACAGAGTATTTATTAACAGTTGCTACAAAATGTCAACAACTCCACAGCTCTAATGTTCTTTCTGAATTATGGAGTTGCCAACCATTCCATAATTCCATGTTTTCATGCATCTCTCTGATGTCTCCTACAAGCTTGATGCGGGAAGACTTTTTAAGTAGCAACTGCTCTGTAACAGGGGTTTACATTTTGCTTTGGCCACCAGGAGTGATAACTCACTTCAGGTATAACAGACAGAGAGGAAAGGTCAGGGTAGGTTTACTTTAGCAATGAACCAGCCACGCTGCTTTCTTTCTCAATAATGGTTTTATCATGAAAGTTCAATGCATTGGTTGCAAAGTCTTTCCCAGATAATCCATCTTTGGCACATTTTTCAGTTGTATGCAACCTTAAAAGGCATTCCAAGATTTTTTGATGGTCTGTACATAATAACAATCACTTCTTTTTTACATTTGTATGTAGATCAGGAAGAAAAGTGGAAAATGTAGAGTATGCAGAATAGTTTTAATAAACAGTTTTACATACAGTACCTTACATATAGAACAGTGTGTTTGCAAATTTAAATAATTTTTGAATGTACAGTGGCTTGTACTCTTATCAAAAGGTAAATTCAAGTTTACTGTCTATCGGTTCTAAAATGCATTTATACAGATAACTAGAACTGATAAACAGACATGAGGCATAAAATGTTCAAGTATCTTAATGTCCTCAGTTAAATAGCCTCCTTTTAACAGTCATATTTTACAAATTTCAAAACCTGTACATACATTATTTTCAATTTTAGAAACTGCTTGTTAAAAGGTAATATGAACCACCAGTTCTTGTAGTCTATGGTAATAAAACTAGACATGTGTAGGTAGAAATGTGTATGGCATGTATACATGTACACATAGCTATACACATATACACACACACAGACACGGATGGAGCACTGGGTACAGCGGCAACTGATCAGCACAGGAAATGTCCTGGGCTCAACATCCAGCAAGAGCTAACAGAGCAGGTAGGTTGCCTTTGGTTTCATGACATTTCATTCACTGAAGCTGAAAAATTTTACAAAAACAACTTGGATAAGGTATCTTGTGATTTTTGCCTCTTATGGTTTAGAATTTCCACAGCCACAGACACTTGCTGCTCTTGTCATGCCTCATCCCCACTGAGGATGGTGAAATTTTCAGAGGGCCAACATCAGAATAGAGCTACCCAGGACAAAAATTGTACCTTGATTCCTGAACACTGCTGTAGAATGGTTTAGAATTTCCACAGCCACAGACAGTTTTGCTGCTCTTGTCATGCCTCATCCCCACTGAGGATGGTGAAATTTTCAGAGGGCCAACATCAGAATAGAGCTACCCAGGACAAAAATTGTACCTTGATTCCTGAACACTGCTGTAGAACATAAAAAAATATAAACTAGATACAATTTTGGATGGACTGCTGGCACCAAGTCGGACTTTGGAAAAAACCTTCGCCCAAGTCATAATTAAACTCTCATCCCAGTGATTTTAATATTATTTGGCACATTTGACCACTATTTTCCACTTCTGTTTTAAAGGAGCCTAGGGGTGCTGCTCTAGGGATTTCTATTTTAAAAAATACTTTAAAAGGGAGACCATGACAAGTAATTTTTTTCAAAAATCAAAGCTAGTATGTTTGTTTTCCTGAACACTCGTAGGAGAAAGAAATAATCTAAAAACCTTCCTTGTAGAGAAGATACAGCTCTCAGTGTATCTATCTTTCACTAGCAAGATAAGAGGATTGCATTTTTAGTCAGCTGAATTCTGCTAATTTAGAAATGTTTGCCAAGGGTTTCAAAATAGTAGCACTGCTCTTCAAAGAGTTTTTGTTTGTTGAATTTTTTTGTATCTGGGGATTTACTTGTTCAACATGTTAAAATCCTAAGAAATTGACATTTCTCAGTATATTATATATAATTTTGAAGCTCGGACATTGAATATTCATATTTTTAATAAAACAGATTCCTGACTCTAAACTTCCTCTCTTCTTTCTAAAGCTTCAGCCTATTAATGTAATCAGCAAAGAACCACATAAATGCTCAGCTTTTTGCTGTCTTCCTGTCAGTCTTGTGGCTAATAAGAAAATTCATTGTAAAGAACCTATTTTTACTTCTATATTCTTCCTTTTGTCATACAGAGCAAAGTGTTGCTATTTGCTGTACTTTTCCCATGTCGATTAAGAGCTGTTTGATACGTCGCTTGAGCTGAGGCAGTCTTGCCAGAGGATCTGGTGGTTCCAGTTCTCCAGTGAAATCAAGCCAGCTTTCTAAAACTACAGAAAGGAAAGGAAGAAGTTGATTAGAGTAACTCTTTGGAAAACAGTTTCCATAAAAATTAAACTTTTCTTTCTTAGTTTGTCTTTCAAAAAAAGGGAAAATACACTGAGGCTGTGATTTTCATTCAATAGAAGAAATTTTGTTAGGGAAAGACTAATTCTGTACTTCTATTGAACAAACCAATCTTCTGATTTGATTGTTGCTGTAAAAAGGTATCTGGGACTAAATTTTACCCTTGGCTCACAATTTACCCTATCCACACATAAAAGCAACTTCAGTTCAGGGTACTCTGACAGTTCTGAAACAGAAAATGCAACCCTTAAAAACAAGGCTTGCTTCTGCCACTTTAACAGGCTCCTGTGGACAAGGTCCAGATTACAGAATGGTTTTTCCAATCTTCAACAAATGTTTTCAAGGAATTTCTCCGCTTGTAGAAACAGAGAAGTGAAAAGGTCAACCCTATCAGTTTAGAAACAGTGTGTCTAGGAAAAGCAGGGATACTGGAAGTAAAACTGCAAATAGAAATAAGACAACTTTATTTGTTAAAAGATTAATTAAGCAGTCCTAGGATTAGACTACAAGCTCCCTTAATTACTAGTTTCTATGACTGGCAGGTCACAGACACTTATGTGGTACAATATTCTCATACAATGTAATTTCATTCAAGTTTTCCCATGAAGATTGAATTGTCTTCGTGAGACCACTTACTTACTACTAAGAAAAAAAAACAAAGTTGAAGGCACAATAAACACCTTTTTTTCCCCCCTACATATAGTCAATTACTACAACAATCAGGTAAAAACCACTCCAGGTGTAAAAAAAGCCATCAACTTTAGGATTCCTACCTGGACAAAGACTAGACAAGTTATCTAAGCTTTCTGAAGTCTGAGCCTGAGCTCAGGGGTTCTGAGTGCCTAATCTACTTTAATGGCATTGAAAAAACTTGAGGAAGGGTGTGGGTATATCAAGGGTACAAGCTTTGCTTATAATTCTGGGACCCAAATTTGAACAGAATACTTAAAAATCCATCCTCAGTGCCTCAGATCACTTTGAACACATTAGTTAAGAGAGATGCTGCTACAGGTACATTAACAAGTAATCTGGCAATGCAGTTACCATCAACTTCTTTTTCAATCAGGTCCATTCTGCTGGTGACTTCGTTTTGTACATTCTCTATATGGGTGAGGAGATTTAGCTGCCATTGAAGATGTGTGTCCACTTGTTCTTCTGAGCCTTTTCTTTCATTACAAACAAACACAGTGTTTCCTTCAGCAGAATTCTTCATAGGAGCAACAGAAAGAAAAAAATTGCCATTTAAGATTTTTTTTTTCTTTGTTTTAACTTCTGGTGTTGATTTCAACATTTGAGTCACATGATAAACTCTGCTGGCTTAGAATTGTACTTCTATATACAAGACAAAAAACTTACTCGGAAAGCCACATTCTATGACACATCAATATACTAAACAAAATCAGAATCCACACAAGTAAGCATCTATACCTTTTGCATCATTTCCCTAACACTGAAGTTTATCAGTTCAAATACTTTCTTCAATGCAGTAGGACGGATTGTACTTCTGTGCCCTTTTTATATAAAAAGCAACTTAAATCATAAAGTGCTGAACTGCCTGGGTCTACTGCCACCAAAAATGTGCAAAATCCTAAGGTTTGTTTCCATGGAAAACTCTCTAAAATGCAGAAGTATCTAACATGACAACAGTCACTATTTTGCACAAATAAGCTGGACATCCTATTTCACAGAATCCCAGAATGGGTCAGCTTGGAAGGGACCTCAGTGGACCACCTGGTCCCAGAGGGTCATCCCAGGGCACATGGCACAGGATTGTGTCCAGATGGTTCTGGAGTACCTCCAGTGAGGGGAGAGACTTCACATCCTCCCTGAGAAATCTGTTCTGTTTGCTGATTAAGACAAAAAACTTCTATTCCTACCTGCTACTACCCCACCTAGCTTCCAGGCACAAGTCTGGGGCAGAACTGAACATATTTGGGGACAGTTACAGTAACATGTGGAGTTATGCAAACATAGTATCTGAGCAAGATTGACTTCTTCAATATAATTAGTACCTTCACAGCATGCCAGAGATAAGACACGAGCTCCTAATCTTTCTATATTTGATGTTTCAGCTACTGAGTGGAAATAGATCAGATTTAATGAGTTAAAAATACTCAGCATCTCAGGTAATTAGGAGGATTAACAGCTTCCATTTTATATCCACTATGACTTCATATCCAGTGAAGTTCTTTCACTATTGAAGATTTTAAGGACTAGATTGCCAGATAGATGTGCTCACCCAGTGTCAGTTCATGTCAAATGCCAGAGCAAAGAATGACTTTAATTGTATTAATACACTTCTCTGAAGAGCTCAGCTAATTTTCCACATCACATAAGAAAAAAATGGTGTTAGCTCTGTTACTAAAATATTTCTCTCTCTAGTCAAATATAGGAAGAGTGAGAAGAGATGTAAAGAAGAAAATAGGAACTGAAGGATTTTAAGTTACAACTTAAGCAAAAAACCCCAACTTTCATTTTAAGACTTAAAATCAATTAAAAAACACCAACCAGACAAATAAAACTCTGACTGACCTGCAGGCAGCTTTATTAGCAACTCAGATGTGACAAGCATTGTTAATATTCGTAATGTTCATTAAAGGAGTTAAAATTATGTATCAGATATAGATTTTATTTGAAAGGTATCAGAGTTTTGATGCCTTTATGGTATTTAAAATCCCTTCTCTGAAGGGATTTTCAGTGTTTTCAGTGATCAAACTTTTCGTAATCTTATGAATATGAATAATATTTCCAATATAAGTAAGAAATTATCTATTCCTTACAATTTTCAGATCCTCTCCAAAACTACAAGAATGCCATTTTTCCCTTGCTGTAAAATGATCCAAGTCCATAATTCTAAAAACAAAATCATCTTTCAGCCTGTTTCAGCAAGACAGAGGGAATTTCAAAGGTAAGGAACTGAATATCTAAATAGTATCATAAATGTGGGCTTTTTTCCTTCTAATGACCTCTATATTTATTCAAATGGCTTCTTGAAAAAAACCCATAAAATCCAACAGGTTCTCCTCTAACCTATGAGATCAATGTAGGTCATTAGGCAGGGATGGCAGGAGAAGAGTTAGGATACAGCTCATGGACAAGAAATAACAGGAAGTTCAGGTGGGGAAGTCTTGTGCTTTCAGAAGCAAAACCAAGGAAACTAAGTACAATTTTAAAGTTAACACACAGCCCAAAAAAGGACTTGAAAACAGTTGATCCAAGGACTGTTTGTAAGAGAAATGGAAGTATGTAACAGAACTGCAGATCAGGGTAAGACAAAACAGTATGGAAAACCAGAATATTAAAAGGCTCTGAAGAATGCTAGAAAGGAAAATTCAAAGCACCAACCAAACTTTGACAAGGAAAGGAGAAAAGGCATCTTAGAGAGAAGTCAGGATCATTTAAAATTGATCCTTCAATGTCAGTTTTAAGGTAAGTGCAGACAGGTTTATGGAGAAACTGAGGAGACCTTTTCCATGACTATTATATTGAGGCAGAAGGGCTTATTTTAGTATCAAGGCTGACTACTGATAAGGTGATCAAGGTTTCTCCAAAGGAAAGAACACTATTAAACCAAGAAGAGATCTGTTGAGGACAGTGTCAAACAGAGAGCACCTAGGTTTTTAGATATATGCTTTAATCTCTGAAGGAAATATTAGTTTTAACTGCTTATGTACATTTTCCTTTAATTCTAAATATCTTTATACTATTTATACTGTTTACAATGATGATTTAAGCTGCTGTTGGAAGGTAAAAGTATTTGACACTGCTGCATGTCTCCTTCCTATAAACCTGAAAATAGCTGTGTGATGTAGCAAATTTAGCACAGAAACAGGTATTTTTAATTAGACTGAGCCTAAAATTCCCCATTCAGACTATAGAGCTTACATGCCACATTTAGAACTAAAATTCAAGAGAAAAAAGATGCAGCATACTCATTTCTTCCACACCACAAACTGTACTTCCAAAGGGGAATGAGTTGGATGATTTATCCTCATACAGCTGGTATTGTAAAAAAACAGAAAGGTTTGGTTCTCTTTGGTTTTTGCTCTGAGAACTGTTCACTAAAACCAGATTAACAAGTTTCAGACCTTTTCCATCAAATAATGGATTCAAACCATTAATGTAAAAATGAGAAAGATATTTAAACAGCAAAATATAATCCTGACTAAAAATGTTTCACTAGAAGAAATATGCAATATAGAAGACTGAAAAGCAGTTGCACATGAGGTGAAATTAGTTGGTCAGTAAATCATTACATGTGGATAGTATTCCAGGCAGCACTGCTATTAAAAGAAGAATACAGTACAATAATAAACACTATTAAAAAAAGCCTTGGTTTAAAAAACAACAACCAAAACCTCCTAACACATGTAGATAACCAAACTGAGAGAAAAAGGGAAACTCGTCCCATTTTCCTCACCTTGTAAAAACCATGTAAATTCTGTTCCAAGACCCTGCATTTTAAGAATGGAGTTTCCTTTCTCTCAAAACATTGGATTGAGAATGATTTTTTAGCATAGGCAATACCTTAAACCATACCTTCTATTTCATATACCAGCTGAAATGAACATACTTCACCTGGAACAATTTCAGTGATCCAAGTTTGCTTCCAGTGATTTCTGCAGACTTGTTTGATAAATATGTTGAATTACAGCAATGAAGATTTTTAAATACCTGTATGTGCTTCAGTTTTATCAGACTGAACATATTTTTCCAAATAAAATTTCCCAGATGAAGAATGATACTTACCTGCTCATTCATGCCACCATCTTTAAAAGAATATTGTAAACAGTTTTTATTCTCTGTGTGATATTCCTGATCTTCCTCAAAGCTACTTGTGTCTTCATCATCTGAGCTCATAGGGTCAGTGACTGCTTTGTAATCATGACAAAAATTCTGTGGTTTTTGGTAACTGTGCTCACTTGTGATGTATGTTTCTTCCATCTTCTGGGGTATACTGGGTGGCTCTTTATGGTTTTGACTATGACATGTCCTTTCAGCTGGATTAACAGCATCCTGCAAAGTCACTAACTTTTTCTCTACCCCAACAGTTCTTTGTTCTTGTTCTTTTCTCATCCCTGAATAAGCCCAGAGGTGAAGGTCTGGGTGATGCTTATTTCTGCAATGAACAGGAGGAAAAAAAGCAAGTTATAGAGAGCTTAGTGCACTTAGAGGACTGAACTATTAAGCGTCCAATTCTCCTAGATATTAACTACTGAAAAGCACCATTATCAAAAATGAAATATTCCTAGGTCATTCATCAATTTAAAATAAATCTACAATGTCCCTTTAACACAAAATTGACCCAAAAAAAATCACCAATAATCCCAACAGACCAGATCTGCTTGGGTGCTGAACACCTAGCTCCTGCTGACGCTGAGGATACTGCACATCTTGCACATGAATTATTTAAAATATTATAGAAGAAAGAATTTCAATGTGAGAGAAAAATGCAAATGGAATAATGGTAGTCTTTGCTACCTGAATAAATACAGCAGGAAATCAAACCCTGGAATGATACCTACTTCAGTATCCCAATCTTCAGCTGCAGTCCATGCAGTATTTCAGTTACCCCATACACATCTGCCAGTAGGTGATGGGTTGACACGATCTTTTTGGCATTAAGATGAGAGTAGTTCTCTTTCAAGAATGATAATCCACACATATGTCCATTGTTTAGCCAGTCTTTGTCATAGAGATATTTGGCACTCCACCTCTGTCCTGGGGTAAGCAATAAAGAAATTGAGGGACATCTAAAGCCACAGCAGAATTATGTTTACAACTAGAGTGCTATATTTATGTGTTGTACTTGCCTAAATATCTCCTAACATCCATGAAAGGATGACTCAGGATTTTGCTATTAATATATATTAATTTAGTTTTTGTGGATTAAGAAGAAAGTCAAAACTTATGAGAAAGAAAATCAGCCTGAAACCTCAAGACCCCTCTAAATGGCATTTGAAATTAAAATCTAATCACCTTTACAATCAAACTATATGATATTAACATCTATGCTGTTATCAAAATAAAAATCACCAAAAAAATTATTGATTTTTTATTTATCTAAGTAGTTCAACTTCCTTTTTTTTTTTTTTTAAGGAAAGCCTAAGTTACCAAGAGAAATATTAGAGTGAATTTTATATGGACATATCCAAAACACCCAGTTTGTTTCTAAAAGACAAATGTTTTCCTTCAATACCGAAGTCAATATCTATTTATTAGAAGCCAAGAAAAGGCTTGAGGAAAAGCAGATATTTCAAGGTTATCTGACAGCAAAGCTCTTATACTCCCCTTTGAGGTGCCTTTCACCAGACTTGTAATGAGGGTATTGATGTATGTGGGCTCTCAGCTCTCCCCTGCTATGCCTTAACCCAACAGGCAGGAATGAGTATTTAGCTAAGGCTTCTACAGTAGCTAAATAACTACTAAAAAACCCAAACAAATAATAAAAATAAACCCATAAAATTAAACAAAACCAAAATACCCACCCAAAACTAGAAATGCAAAATGCTAATTATCGCAATGTTATTGTTTACAACAAGGCACCCAGACAGACTGACAGTATCTTACACTCGATTTCAAATCATACTAGCATCATAGACAGAACAAAGAATGGGTTGATGGAAGCCCTTCATACCTTTCAGGAGAATACCCTGTCTATCTCCTTTTTGCCCATTATCCCAATACACTTTAAAATACTGACATTGAGAATGACTTTTTTCTCCTGACATAGAAAGAAAAGAAGTAATGGTTAGGAAGGGAGAGAAGATAAAAATTAGGGACACAGACTCTGCATTGCAGGGGAAAACAAGTACCTAACACAGTGCAGGGAAAGAGCACAAGACAAATTAGCTGGGTTTAGTAAGAAAAAGCTGAGCTGCTCAGGAGACACCACACAGAACTATCAGACAAGACTCTCTACCACCAGTTTTGATTCACACTGGGACATATTGAACCAGCTCTACTTTCCTAATATTTAATCTCAAAAATAGCTAATAAAATCTCTGCAAACAATTTTCATACTTCACTTCTTAAATATAGAATGACAGTAAATTTGAGGTTGTAGTCTCATTGCCCTTTTGAAACAGCTGGAGTGCTGGATATTTCACCAGATGACAAGTATGTGCATTTTTATCAATTGTCAGAAGAAAATAAAAAAACTTACATCCAAATTTTTATTTTTTCTCCAAATAACAGTTAAGAAAAATGGGTTTATCACAGAATAATTTTTAAATCAGCATCTTCCTAATCAAATGTATTCAGTTTGAAAGTAAATAGTTTTCCTAGTTCTTACGAATTTGACCTAACTATCTGAAGTTCAACATATGCTGTGTGCACTATTGTTTACTACAAGATGGAATAGATTTTTCTGCATTTTAAATATTCAGTTCCACACTTTTACACAGTTCTGGACAAATGTAAACGTTTTAAAATTGCAATTACTAGTAAATGCCATTCACAGTATGTTTGAGTGTACTGTGGTACTGAGTCCTTTTCCTCTAGGAAAATATTTCAATGAACAAATGTGATTCCAAGTATTGGCAAAACAGATCCCTGAACAAAAATGATTTCTTTAGAAAGGCTTTCTAAACTACACTGACATAAAAAATTCCTCCCACTGACTGGGAGGAATTAAGTTTCAACAAGTAAAACAATGGTAACTGAGTTCATGGGTAAGATTTAGCATAGCTGACCATAATGTTACTAACACAAAAGTAAGTTTCTGCTCAGAGCCAAACTTAGAATCACTTGCCCCAAAGAAGCATCACACATAACATAAAACAGACAAAGCTTGAACAATTTAAGCAAATTCATAACATCTTTGCTCAAAAATCCCAAGCAGGGCTGCAGATAAAGGTGGTTTATCCATACCTGGTGGATCTCTGCAGATGTAACAGATGTATTGCTCTGGAATGCTGTCCTCCAACAGTCCCATGCATACACTGTGCTGCCAACACAAGCATTCTTCACACTGATGTCAGAAAAAAAACAACAACAAAAGCAAAAACTAAAACTGAGACAAGTAGATGCAAAAACCCAGGAGCTACTTCTTGAGTCATCAAAATGCAGAGAACAGAACTTTAATTTAAATAGCTGGTTTGAGCAAGATTATTTTAGTTGGGCAATTTGTGTTTGGGTAGACAAAGACACCAAGCTAAAAAAAGAGCTCTAGATCTGAAAGTTACCTCAACCACAAACTCCAGACTGGAGGAAAAAAAAAGCAACTGAAGATGTAATATGAAATAGTATTTTATTACAACATTCAGTATTTTAGCACCTACATATTTAGTAGTGAAACATAAGACAGGAGTATAATATTATAGTAAAGTAGAAAGATAATGTAATACATTACAGCATAACAGTGAAAAGTAGAAAACTCTTCAGTTTAATTATTTATATTTACAAAGCATCTCTCCAGTGCGCTAGAAAGATGTGCTTTTAATATCGCACCAATGGAAAATCTAAAAGAAAAAGAAAATTAAGAGAAAATGAAAGAGGAGTAACAAGAGAATAGGAGAGCAAAATAGAAGTGGTAAGACATGAGAGCCTAAAAACAGCAAACTGGTTGCTCTCAGTGAAACAAGCATGAAGAGGAACAATCAGGCTGCCACTGGACTTCAAAAACACGCAGGGAACTGCCTCTTATAAAGGTACTTCCCTTTCTCAACTCTGTACTTGTCAGTATTTTAAATATCTGCTGGCTCACTGCTGAAAATCTCTCCTCTTTGCTTTGACATGCCTTTGAGCATCAACCTGTTCAAAACATGGAAGTCACCTTTCCTCCCATCCCTACAGCTACCCTGTCCCCTCTGTCTCAGAAGATTGTTACACCAGTCCATTTTTCCACATTGTTACCACAGCTGAACTGCTCAGTTCCTCCAACACAGCACAGCCTTTTAGTCTGCTCCCCGAGACAGCCTGTGTGCCCTTCATTTCCAGGGCTCTGTCAGTTCCAGAACAGTAAGTCCACTAACATATGACAGCCCTACTTTTTCCTTTAAATCTCAACTAAAGAGCTCCATACTATCAACTGGAACTGTACCACAGTAGTAGTTGAATACAAACCTGATTTTTAATGGGGTAAAAAACACAGCAGGTCATGGCCTTTTTAAAGTTGTTGACAACTGAGTTCTCTTCCTTACTGCTTTTTGCATCTGATTTAATCACTGCATTATAAATTGCTTGAGAAAAAATACTTGACATTACTCATAGATGGGAAATACTCTTCTCATTGGAGTACGAAGTAATAAGCAGCAGGAGCTGCAATCTATCCACACCTGAATGCTGTGCAGACATTGTATACTCTTCTTTCCTTTTATCTATACCAAGTCAAGATGTAAATTCTCAGCAGCTTCTAAAACCTGGTAGTCATACCCAATGTGAGAAGTGCTGTTCTAAAGATGAAACACACATCACAGTACTGACAGTATTTAGTGTCTGCACAGGAGACACGCTGCACACAGAGGAGGGACATTTACAGTGAGCAGAGAGGTTTCTACAAGTGGTACTGCAAAGCACAAGGGCCAAGCCAGGAGGGCTCGTAAAATCAGGGTGGTCTGGGGAACAGAAGTAGAATGGTTTGTGAGTGGCCAAGGATACTTTATTCCAATTTTATCAGCTGGCTATAAAGAAGGTTACCCAGCAATTTGCCCTATGTATCAAATTGCTAGAGAAACCCCTCCTACAGAAACAGCTCTGCATTCACTGAACAGAGCCAAACCAAGTGCAGAATAAAGAAATATTTTGTTTTTGTTCACTTACGTACAGCTTTCTACATAATTCCAGTCTGTGACACATCAAAAGGGCACTTTCACAAGCAAAACATTCACATGGAAAATGTAACTCCACACACCAAACTTCTTTACCTGAATCATAAAGCCATTTTCTTCATCAAGTTCACAAATGCATCTAACAATTTCATTGAGAGCATCATCTTCATCCTGAGACTCTTCAAAGTTGGTTGAATCAAAATCCTGATTGTATTCATCACCACTAAGTAACAAACTCTCTGTGGAAGAATCATCCAAGAACTCCACATCTGAAAGGTCTAATAGAAATAAATACAGGTGAAACTGTATGGAGAGACACAACAATTGAAAGAAATACAGGGAGCTTTGACAGGTAAAAATCTTAATCTGCACTAGCAAAAAAAAAAATCACTCTCAAACACACTGCTGATATATGAGATTTCAAGATGAATTCTGCAAAGTGCCTTTAATGTGCTCTCCTCAGATTCAGAGTAGCAACACTTAACCAAAGCAAGTACAATGTAGAACAGCTTGAGGAGTGTAAGCATTTTGATTTAAATAGATGAAAGATAAATCAGTCATCATATTTATAGCTACAATCCCAAACATAAACCAAATTATTTCCTTTAAAATTCTCTTTCTTAACAAATTAAACCTACAAACTGAAATCTGGTGTTCATTCAACCTACTTTCTCCACTAAGGTCAACAGACAGGATAGCTCTTGGGTACTGGTATGAAGTGTTCTTCTCTGAGAACATACTGCGCAACGTCAGGGAGCTGCCCGAGGACCGCGTTAAGGGAGACGAGCACCTGTCCAGGAATTCAACAGAACTGTCTTCATAATCTGAGTAATCTGAAATGTTGAAAGAAAAGAAGTCACTCTTAAAAAGTAAAATTTACAACAAATGTAAAAAAAAAATAATTGTGTATATATTTTACTGCAGCATTATGTTGACAAGCAAAGACTATCAATGCTGAGGTATCAGAATGATGAAACTGTAAATAAGAAATGGCAAAAGCTCTTTGTAACATTTTATTAAAAATTTTCCAGTAAGAAACATCATCAAGTTTGATAGATAAGCATCACCATCTCTCTGTACAGAGGGGCAATTCTCCTTAGAATATTATGCAGTCTTCTTTTTTCCACAATTCATCCTGCACCATCTGCTATCCTTAAGAGATGCTGCTGGTGACTCTCTTGCCTTAAGTCTACTTACAGCACTACCAGCATTGCTATCTAGGAGCAACCACAGATAACCCTGCCAGTTTAAGTGATGAAAGCTTGTCTGCACCCCTGCAGAGGAGTACAGGGAACGCAAAGAAAATTGTCTTTGGGTGTTCCCAGGCCCATGGTCAGGAGACACCAACGGGCCAAGAGGTCCTGGGATGGGCTAGGGAGCATCCCAGAAGAGTACACATACACAGGCCCAAAGGAGGAGGATGAGCAGGCAAACAACAAACACCCCTTGGCCAGGCTCCTCTCAGACCTTCCCAGCAGTGCCATCACCTCCATTGCATGAAACCCATCAGGATGTGTTACCCACAGCAGCTCTCTGGATCATCTTCTGGACTAAGGGCAGCTGCAGCCCAGGGGGCTGCCAGTGGAGGACACTATGGGATGTGGGTGAAAATAATTCTGGGTTTGTTAATGACCTTATGAAATGTTTAGGGAAGAAAATAAAGGTGGGGAAAATGGATGGACTGAAGTGATTTGGGGAAGAACAATTATGGGCAGAACATGGGAATAACAGGACGAAAAAAGCCACATATGCATAAAGTTTTGTGGTCAGTACACTTGCCTGGCCATGCCCTGCATCTAGTCTGTGCTTACACAGGTTGTAAGTTTCCCTCCTTGGAGCCATTGCAAAGTTGTCTGGATATAATCCTGGGCAACCAGGACAAGGGGGTTGGACCACTGCACCTTCAGAGGTCTCTTCCAACCTCAACTGTTCTGTCATTTTTATCAAACCTCATTTCCATCTCTCACCTGGGTAAGGGGCTCTCCATTCAGGGTTCAAGCACATGGTCTGTGTGCCAGCAAATGAGCAGCCTTGCACGTCAAAGCGTCCACGTGTCTGGGGTGCCAGCACTCAGAGAGACTGCAGTGACAACAGTGCCACCCCATGCCAGGGATCTCTGGTCACAGAGGCCCATGAGCTGATGCTACAGCTCCTGCAGCCAGACTGCTTGCGTAGATCAAGTTGGACCAGCTGATGAGCAGGTGAAATGGCCTGGGAGCAAGGGGTCAGTGGGTCTGCAAGGGTCAGCTCTGGGTGGAAGTGGCTCTAAGCAGGAGAGCTGGGGGGCTCTGGGGACCCAGGGAGTCCTGGCCAACACTGGGAGTGTGTGGGAATGCACATGGAAGTGAGACTGTCTGTACTGCAGTGGGGCTGCTGCCCCATGAGCTCATGACTGCAGGCACAGAAATTGGAAACACTGGGATCCAGAGGGGCTACTGGGCAGACAGTGTCTGAGCCCACATGCTGCAGAAATTCCCACTGTACTTACACATCTCTGTATTATCTTCTGCTCAGCCAGAGAGAGGAGCAGGATGAGGCTGTCACAGCATACACACAAGCACAGACAACATCCCATGCTTCTGCCTTCTGGTCACACAGTGGTACTGACATTTATCTTGATTGTATTCCTTTCCTCCAACAAACTATTTGTAGCACTCTCAAGAAACACATTACAAAAATATTTGGCTGTCCCTTATCACAACAACTGGAGAGACTGTCCTAGGAAAATCATGTAATTGCAAATCATTGAACAGTTAGGGCTGGAAGGGACCTTAAAGACCATTCTGTTCCCCTCCACCTTCCAGCAGAGACCAGGTTTTTCAGAGGCCCATTCAACCTGGCTTTCAACACTTCCTAGGATGGGACATCCACGACTTCTCTGGGTAACCCATTCCAGTGGCTCATCACCCCCACAGAAAAGAATTTCTTCTGAATATCTAATCTAAACTAATCTAGATCTACCCTCTTTCAGTTTAAAACTGCTACCCCTTGCCCTACCATTACATTCCCTGTTCAGGAGTCCCTCCCAGTCCTCTCTGTAAGTCTCCTGTAAGTATTAGAAGTCTGCTACAAGGTCTTTCCCCAGCATTCTCTTTTGTAGGAGAGCCTAAACAGGCTCTCAGCCTCTTCTCACAGGGGAAGTTTTCCACCCCTCTGATCATCGTGTCCTTCCTGTGGAACCAGCTGAGCATGCCCATGCCTTCAATCAGTAATTAGGAGTAGCTAATTACTACTAAATTAGTACTTCAAATATAAGCAAGTAATCAGATTACTGCACTTCCATCCTTCTGTAGGAAGCATTCCTGCTCCCACCTATCACTACAGTTTTCCTGCTATGGGTTCCATAACATCCTTCTCTCCTAGATCACCTTCCATGAAGGCACCTTCCTCTTTACTGCCTCTGTCCAAAGCACAGCATCTCCAGCATTTCCCAAGTGCATTCACTGTAGTCAGCTCAAGGAGCAGCTGAGTTGATTACTTCATGCTGAATGGCTTTCAACCTCACTGCAACAGAGCAGCAAAAATGACAGGCATTGCTACTTTCTGCTACACATGGGCTTTTTGCAATCATAAGTCATGCACACACTCAGAGCACAAAACCAGTCTCTGCTGGGGTTTTTGTTTTGTCTTAAAGCCTTGTTCAAAATTTACCTGGGGCACACAATGTACCTGCTCCCTCTTCTTCATTTGAAACAAAAGGAGAATGCCTCACGTCTTTACACTTCTGTCCACACCTGGAGTAGAGTGACCTAGTCCTGCAGAGAGTCCTGTTTCTTTTGACAGATGGGCTTTTTCAGGGTCAGACACTGGAGTCAGAATCTACTGGAGTATTTCAAATTTTTTCTCCAGTTAAAAGAGGTCCAAATTGAATATGTTTGGACTGTTAAACCCAGATTTTCACAAGATGAATTTCCAAAGAATAAAATATTCAAGTTTTACCCAAATTGCTTTTTGCATCTGGATTTAGGATTTCTATTTGTTGAGACATTGGGCATATTTTCTTCTCATATTTACAAACACAGGATAAAGCACCTAGAAACTGGAACTTAATCATGGTACCTCTGCCAAGCTTCTAAGTTTCAAGACAAGGTGGCAAAAAGACCAAAGGAATAAAAAGATGAGAAAAAGAAAGAGAAAACCCCAGCCCACAACAGACCACCTTATGACCACAAGAAGATAAAACCAAAGAACAATACTGGACACATTCCTAGCATTTATCAGTATCTTCTTGAAAATACATAGATGCCTTCTCAGTGCAAGTAAGAAGTTCCCAACGATTTTAAGTAGAATAAGCAATTGAAGTTTATAGCTTAAAATTATATTACTCCACTATAAGGATGATAAAGCACACAAAACCTACAATACTGCAATTCACACTAAAGCACGGCATGATCTGGAAGCATTTTCATGTTATAGCACAAATTCTGGACAGAGAAACACATAATCCACAAAATACAATCCCCATTTGTCAAGGCAGCAAACAAGGCTGTTATAACAGAGACACCAACCTCAATTGTGAAGGGTTAACTGTTAAAGAGGGGGTACACTGCATACAGCAAAGCACTGAAATGACTGATTTTAGTAGACACTAGACTGATTTTACTGTCCAAGCAAAATAGGTATGACATGTACACAGAGCTTCAAATGAAGAATTTAAAGAGATGAAAGCAACAAGCTTATATTTTTTAAAGAAGAAAAATAATCTGTGAAATATGTGTGCCTATCACATAGAGAGAGACAGGCTCTAAATGCAAGAAAAAAGGAAGTCCCAAGTGTGCTTTTCATATTTAATACTAAAAATTACTCTTGGACATTTCCAAAATCTTACATTCATATTGTTTACAAACAAGTTTTACTATCTAATGATAGAGATACATTGGGAGGTTTTACTTACTTTAAAAAAATCTAAATTGAACTTACCATGCTGTTTTGATTTCTTCTTTTTTTTCTTCTTCTTTTTCTGTTTTGGTTTATGATCTTTTTCCTTCTTTTCCTTTTTCTCCTTTTCTTTTTCTTTCCTTTTACCTGAAATGAACATTAAACAATTTAAAGCAGCTTAGCTGAAACAAGGCATTCAAAATCAAGTGCTCTAGTTGTGTAGTCAGATCAAAATGATTCAGTTAATTTACTTGATCTCTTGGACACACTCTTATTAATTGCTGCTGTAAGAGTTCAAAGAAATCTCATTTGACAAATAATATTTTATCATTTAAGTATTTCCAAGTAAGATATCAAGGCAGAAAAAATACAGCAAAGTACACAAAATATGTAACATCACATAAATAGCTTATAACTTCTATTTTACTTAGAGTTTATAACAAAAACATTTGGGCAAGAGAAGTAGCTTTCATAAGGGCAAAATTCCCAATTATAATGGTTACATTGTCCCACAAACACATATTAGGCCTACAGAAAGACATTTGAAGGAAATTTCACTATCAGAGTGCTGCTGTCAGCACTCTGCACTATAGAGCAGCATCCTCACAGAAAACTGATTCTGACTTAAATTTGACACAATTTTTATGCTGCAGCTCACTTTTAACCACTGTTGGTATACACATGAAGACAAGCACTTTGTCTTTGAAAGATTTTTTTGATCCTGTTAATTCTCCCTAGACATAATACATCCCACATTTTCATTCCACAATAACTTCTTAAGTTATCAGCAGTGAGGAAAGTAACAAGGAAATTAACTTGTTAGAAAACATAAGCCTCAAAGCCAGGATTGTTTCCTATACACAAACTGGAGCAGTCTTAGCTTCTTGGGGAACACAGAGACAAAGCTTCTACCTCCTGGAAAAACAAAGTAGAATAATTTCTCAATTCTTGCCAGTCACTAGTAACTTATTTTATTTTGAACACAGGATAAAAAGAGAGTCCTTTTAATCTGGATTTTATTTCATGAATTGCCAAATATTTTGCTAATAACCCTTGTTTGCTCTTCTCATCTCAAATCTGACAGCACAATAAAGTAGATAGCAGTACTCATTCTACTAAGAAAAACCCCAATCAAATGAAAAACCAGAGGCAGTGGGCCTTTCATAGATACTTTAGGAAACTCCTTGCTATGGAGCACTTACATTTTATCTTATAAATTATTCTACTGTTACAAACCTGTCATATGCATAAAAACTCTTTTTAGGACCTTAACAAACAAAAACTGCAGCTGGGCCCAGGAAATATTTTATGCTTTTACATTTGCTCTTCAGAGACAGGAAGTGTTAGAGAATTTTTCTTTTTTTTTTTTTTTTTGTAAAAATAATATTGCTCTCTACATACCATATGCTGAAGAACTTTTCTCTTCCAGTTTTCCTTTTCTTTCCATTCTAGCTGCACCTGCAAATTGAAGAATGTATCACATAAGGCCAATGTCTGGCTGATGACCTAATTTCTTGTAAAAGTCATTAGACTGTAAAAAATCCTAACGGCACACAATATTAAGAAACGTACAAACAAAACAATTATTTTTAATGCCATTTTACAATTATTTTTATTGTCTAAAGCACTGGAAACAAAAAGTATTGTAGTTTACCAACTTCTGAATGCTTGTCCTTCTCAATCACGTTCTTTAATATTTTCTCCTTCAGACTCTCAAAACATTTCTCCTTTATGGGCACAGAGCACTGTATCTCTGTCCCTTCAGAGCTCACTGATGTGGAAGACCTCTTTTTTTTACTATTCCCTTTGGGTAACTTGAGACTATTGGATAAAGGCATTTCCAGATGTAAGGCATGTACATGGGACGAGGGTGCTGAAAACAAGAAGATGGATTTACTCGGCGTTCCACAAGGATTGCAGCCAGCCAGGGCTGGGTCAGATCACTGAAATGTCAATATTGCTCACACCATCATCACATTTAACAGATCATTACTGCACATGAATGCCTAGATCTTGATCTTACACACAAGACAACAGATGCTACAGAAGGTTTCTTCCTATATTTTGGAATTTGCATTCACTTTTAAACTACCTGTACTGGTTAAAATATACTTTTGCTATTACACTATTGAGACTTTTTGTTTCCTTTTTCTTTTTTTCACTGTAATAGGAACACATGAGAAGAGTAACAATTAAAGGTGCTGACACTGTCAGTATCATTTAAGTTAATGCTCCATTATGTTAACAGAGAAATTAAGCTCTGGTACAATATTTGTGGTCCTATGTATAAAACATTTCTGCTCATTGAATTTTTCATTGATTTTAATAATATTTACATAATTCACTTTCTTTCATTAATCCACATTTAAATAAGATGCAAAAGTACCATGACCTGTCAGAATTCAGCATCATATACTGACAATTCTTATCCTGCACTATTTAGAAAAGTTTATTCAGTGAAGTATTTAGTTGTTGTTTCAGCTCTTTATCTGATGCAAGTTAGTAACAAACTGTAAACAAAGCAAAACTGAAATTACAATTTTCACTGCTAATATTTATAATAATTTTTAAGTAATCCAACTAGAATAAAACTTATTTATAAGGAACATTATTGAAGTAATTCAAAACTCTCTATTACTGTGTCCATCAATATTGTTAGAGCTTCAAGATTCATCAAATCGTAATTAGGAAAGTCTACTTTTCATCAGATCCTTGGCCCATTTTAGGACCACGCCAAGGACATATTGTACAAAAATGCAGCTCTGTGAAGTCACAAAGGGCTCAGGTTTTTCTGTACCAGCTGTAAAAACTTGGAGGCACCAATTACCTTCGGTGTCTCTCAACAGAAGAGCCCAACAAAATCATAAGCAAGTAAAAAAAGAATCCTGAAAAATATCTGCTATTGGCCAAGATATTCAACAAGACAAAATATGGAGCTGATGTGGAATGCATTAAATAAGTTGCATTAAGATAATTTAGTAAATTCATCAGTCATAAAAAGATTCTGGGGAAAAGGCAAGAACAAATCAAGCCTGCCCAACAGGGACAGACCAACCCAATTCTACTGGGACAGAACACACAACACCTGCTCCCACTGCTGAGCCCTCCTGGGAACACAACCACAATGCCACTAGTTGGAAAGCTGAAGGGCCAGCAAGAACAATGGAAAGTGGTGCATCACCTCTCACAGCACCTTTAGTGCCAGGTGTCCCCAGCTGCAGGGCAGCTCTGTGCTCTGTGCTGTGCAACCCAGGCAGCAGCAGCTGCTCAGCTCTGTGTGCTGGCTCCTGCCACACAGCACGAGCTGCACAGCCACACCTGGGCCTACCTGACCCTTTCCACTGCCTCAAATCAACCATCCCACATAAGAGCATAATCCTTTTAAGGCTGATTCAGGCTCTTGCCTATGTCTGTATTTCAAGTGCATTTAGCTTGCTGGAATACTTATCATTGACACAAAACTCTATCCAAATTATTCCTTTCTTAGGTTTCCTAATTACCATTTGTCTCTGTTACAGGACTGAACTGCTCTGCCATCTGTAGAGCAATAAGTATATTTTAGCACATTAGTAAAAGAAAAATGTGACACTTTCCCACATCATCATGCTATCAACGTCTTGTCTCATTTCTAAAAAGAGCTCAAAAGGAGCACCCAAATGCACGTAATTCATTTAGGTCACTGCCATTTTGATGAAAAGATGTGAGAACACTCCATCCAAAGAATCTCAATGTTAGATCAATTTGTATTTAAACTTTATTATTGAGAAGAAATCCTGACCTGACATCCAAATATGATTTAATACCAACAGTCACAACACAACAAATTTTGGTATCTCAATAATTTTCAACACAAGCACATCTGACAAAGTGATTAGTAATTGCTTGAGGGAACACTCATATTGGGCAGAAATCTCTCCAGTCAAGCAAATACCCATCTTGCTGTCAGAACTCCCCAAACTGCCTTTCTATAGTAACTTGAAAATAGAAACTGCTATTATGCCTGTATACATTGCAATGTTATTCCTGGCTTTTACTTTTCTTCATTGAAAATCATTTTAGATAAAGAATCTTAAATTCTCAAATCCTGCATAAAGTGCCAAAGCTTGCAAGCTCTGCTTTTCAACTGTGCAATCACTATGCCTTACACATAATCACAAACTTGGACAAGGTGGTCAGTCAGAAGGGCAAGTAACAAATACAACCAGGAAATATTAGTTCCTTTATGGAAATACTTTTTTTTTTTTTTTAACTGCTACTTTTAATTGCAATTTTATTCCTGTTAAGGAGTCTAGCCAGCCACCTCCCACACAGTGAGTGGGAGGTCTGCAGTTAACACTCGGCACAGAGAAAGACGACCAGAGATTAGACTTGGTAAACTACTGATTTTGTCACCATTCCAGAATCAATTTTATCACTAGAAGACTAATTGCAGATTAAAAAGAAATGCAAACCACAGCATTCCCAGTCCAGTTTATAACATGCTTCCAGTTCTACTTCTCCTGTTACAGAAGAGAGAAGTGACACAAGCCCCCTCATGCAAATACAGGCACAGGACAGGATGTTGTGCCACATGTACAACAGCATAACCGGGCTAGCAGTGGTATTGTTTATTGCAATTCATCAAGCTCAAATGAATTGTAGCAATCTGAAGCAATTTATTTTGTTGACTGATATTCTATTTCCTGGCTTTTCATGTTTAAAATAATATCATAAATACAATTATCTACATTAATAAACTTAAATCATATTGCAATAGAAATATAAATCATGCTGGTCATATCTAATTTAGTGCTTTGAATTTCCAGTGCATAGGATCAATTTTATATCTAAACAGATTTTAAATTGCATATCATAGACTAACACTGGAACCCTGCCCAAAATTATGTCTTTAGGAAGAATAAGCTGATAAAACAGTTCTTGCTTGCCTCATGACCAGCCCAAACTGGGAACTTCAGGGAGAGATGAGAATGGCAGGCATTCAAATTAGGGAGTTATTTGGGAGTTATTTATTTATTCAAATTTGACTGTTAATAGATGGTTGAAGCAAAACAAACAGCCACAAAGTAACATGATAAAGTAACAAGATGAACAATAGTTTATCCCTCTTAAAAGCAAGGTCAACCAGAAACACTGGCAAGAGTTTTTAAAAAGCGACCAATCTCATTTTCTGAAAATTTTGTACATCAGCTGTTTCTTGTTCCTGCTGCAGTAAACTGTTACCAAGGAAATTATATAAAAGTACACAATGGTTTTTTTTTTCTTTTAGTCTTAAATTCAAATTTCTCCCATATAGTTAACGTAATGTTACCCTACCAGCAAAATCATCTATTGGTGTTAAAATAGAAAATAGCAGCTAGTGATAATATTGTCATATCAGCATTACAAATATTATATTGTTAGATTAGGAAGTGTAACAATATAACAATATTTTCCTTTTACTTAAACTTCAAAACCCAGATAGCTTGCTGAAATTATGTTTGCTCAATATTTAATAGTTAAGGTAACATAAATGGTGCAGGGGTACAGAAGCCAAGAGAAAAGATCACAAATTTAAAGAGAAGCAAAACTAGAGAAAGACCTGAACTTCAATATATTCGGAGTGGCAAAACTACTGTGCATTGCAAGTATTCTGATTGACTGTGGATTTAAAATCTTTGAAATGCTAAAGTGATCGAATGCCAGCTATTTGCATTTTAAGCAGTTTGGCAAAAGAAAGCAAAGATTTTTAGTTACGTGTGTGCAGTACCAGGTGATCACAAGTAGGACCTCACAACAGTTGAATAAAGCACTACCTCTGTTCAATAACTAATGGATAGTGTACAGGTGTCTACCCAAGGGCACAGTACTTCCATGGAGACATTGGATTGAAGGAATTACCACAGAGCTTTTGTTTTGCCTCTACAAAATGTTATGGTGTTCATTTTGAAATCTATGTGCTAATACTGTGAGCTGTCATTTATGCACTGGCACTTCAGTGCACCTAGTCCCTCTCCTCTGAAAACACCACGTCAGTACCTTCTGAATAAAGTCACTAAAATGCATAATTTTTAACAACACCAAATTATTTTTTTCAATTGACTCAACTAATAGCCTCCATCAGAAGTCACAATGTGCAACATCACAAATCTCTGGGCTTAAACCAGCTCAGTTCTTTACAGAAGGATTAGGGATCAGACCAGGCTGTTGCAGGCTAAATACCATTGTGAGGTATCTCTTTAACGAATCAAAGTGTCTACTTTAATTATTACAAAGACAGCAGGTCTAACTGAAGTGCACTTAAAAGAATGTAGTCATGTCAAAATCTAGAACTCCAAATGTGTCTAGACTGTGTTAATAAAATCTTAGCAGCAGAAATACCGTAAACAGATGCAGATTTATAATAGTTTTTTCAGAGCAAGAAAACACAATTACAGAATAGTTTGGATTTTACACCAGCATTCTCAATTTGTAATGGAGAGGATCACAATCCATACATTTAAACAATGCAGTGTATTAAACTGCACTTAGGTTGATGTTTCTGCATAATGAAAATTAACTTTTCTCAATCATTTCAAGAATTGAAAGGAATGAGAAAGGAAAGCTTTGGGCACCTCTCCTGTATCTATTTGCTTGCTAGTGTTTAAACAGATAATGAAGAAAGTACTGATAAATAGAGTGGATCCCATTTATTTTCCTGAAGCATGCAAAAATTTGGTGTAATTATGTGTGCTTCAGGAATGTGACTTGAGAACCTGTGCTGTTCCAAAGGCAAAATGATGCCTTCTAAAGCAGAGAATACAACAAATTTATTCAATAGTGTAGACTAATTCCAGATGTTTCAAACCTCAACTTTAAATTTACATTTTTCTTTTTCTTCTAAGATTATGAGGATAAACATGTTTTACCAGAGTTAAAAGACTGGGACGAATCCCAAACACATATGAATTTTACTTATAGAGTCCTGGTGCTACCACTGACAGAGGCAGATAGCTCCAAAACCTGCAATGAAATCTGTGAATTAAAGATATCAAACTGCTTAGTTTAGTCTTTCTGGCCACAAAGCCGATACTCAAGAAGCTATTGGGCTACCTGCTGCAACCTACTGAAAACTTCTAACATTTTGACAGAAAGTCAGCATGAAATCTCAAGACACAGTTCCATTTATTGCATGATGGAAAACTGTGATACATGAAAATTAGGAATAAAACACGAGCCTGGAAGTAAAAACCCATAAGACAAAAAATGTAGCTGGCAAATCAGTTCCTTTAGAGCTTATAACTCTTAAAATTATATAGATATGAAAAAGGGCTCATTAAACTTTGTATACAGTATAAACTCTGTGGTCTGGTAGAGGTTGCAAGCACTTCTGGCTTCCCACTATGGACTCAAGTAGTAACAACAGACAAGTTGATCATGGAATTTTTCCCTGACACAAATTGTGTGGACATGTCACATAATTCTGAGTCATTAAATAAAGGTAGCTCTAAATGAAACTTATTCTTTCTTTTATTGCTTCATCTGTGGCCAAGACTGAGACCCAGCTCAACAAGAGGGTCCAAAGTGCACTCCTGAGTGCTGGGTTTAGAACCAGATCAATCTGCCCTGAGCCAGGCCTATGACAGGAGCAGGCAACTTCCAGCATTACCAACTACACATACAATGAGCTAGAAAATACATCAGAAAAACCAGAAGATAAAATTCTAGTAACTGAAATGAGTTTCACCAAACAGGAAACGGATGGCTGTTGGAAGCTGTTGATTTATGATCTTGTTCAATGAGTGGGCAAATACAAAACTCCCAAAAGCACTTCTCTTAGTGGCAATAGACATGACATAAAAAGGACTTTTATAGAAGTAATTTTCCCAGGAAACTGTAATTCTGCTGCTATGCCATGTATCAAGGGCAAATGAAGACTGACATGGTTTCACTCAAGTAATTAAGCAGCATTTTAATATTTTAAAAAGCTTAAGTGGTGGCTCACTAGAGATACACACAGCCCTTATTTTGACAAATCAGTTTAAGAGATTCATAGATTAATAGACCAAGATACAATTTAACTGTCATAACTCTATCTTTTAAGGTTATGCTGTCCTCCCTTACTATCAATGACATTTATCAAAAACTTTCTGAGCATAATATAATAATTTGATATTTTCCACTCTTCCTACTTTTCTGAACAATTTTCTCATAAAACAAAACAGAAAAAGGCTTTAAAAGAATTCTTTCTCAGAAGCCAGTTAAAAATGGTATAATATCAACATATAAAAAATTCTATAAACACCTAGCCTTATAAAGAAATCTATAAACGCCTAGCATACACTGGATGAAAACATCCCACTCTTATGGTCAGCTGCTCCCACTGTGTAAATCCTTCCCCAGATCTCTCGGTTATCTCCATTCAAGTGCTCCATGTGAACAACGGTAAACTCTTACAAAAGGAGAGGCAGCCCAGAGCTGCAGCACTGGGCTTTGCACTGAGGCTAACCAAGTCTATGTAAAAGTTTTTGAGGATTTTTCAGAAATATTTTTAAGTAACATTTTGCAGCAAGTGAAGGACAGAATTTCCACCGCAGAGACGCAAAGCAGAGGAATGCTGACTGTCTTTGAGAACACTACTGTTTTAAAGCTGAAGCCACAAATTAGTATGTTAGTAAAAACTTCACTTTGTTAATTATTTTTACAACTTTTAGCAACAGCAAAAATATTTTTGAAATACTGCTTACTACATTCCACACTCTCACATTCTCATTAAATTACGTTACAAGTGCCAAAGCAGCCCTAAGCCAGTGAAGACAAAGAATATGCAGATGAGTGGAGTCCAGAAGAGAGGCAGGTTTTTGAGTGTGCAGAAACGAAAATAAAAAGCATCCCTTCTTTCTGTGGGATTAAATACACAGACATTTTAACCCTATAAGTATAAATCTCTCTGGTTGTATACTGAATCTCTTTACCTGAAGCTGTTGTAGCTACTCTTCCATCAGTTACTGCTTTGGAAGAAAGATATGTAATCATCTGAATATCTTCCTTGCCTTTACTGGAATACTCATTATGGAAAGTGGACTCTGCAGATAATGGCGCTGTAACTTCCGAACTACGGCTTAAATCAAGAGGGAGACATGGTCCACGCTTCTCAAGTGACACATGAGCAACATCAGGTACTACATAAAAGAAAAAATGTCATATTAAAAAAGACACATGGGTCCAACAATCAAGTCTGGATTGCAGCGTTACATAACATAGGAACAGCAAACAGCTTTAGCTACAGCACTTCAAAATTTCCCATTAGTTGAAAACTATGAAAGGTCTAACTTTTATGATTCAATTTCTCTTGGGCAGTTCTTTATTAGATTAAGATACATTACCCTCCAATTTTGATGACTGTTGGTTTTGACCACTGATGGAGAACACTTTTCCATCAGTAACTGAAGAGGGAGAAGAAACTTTTTCTAGAGAATCATCAGGCAAGGAGCAAGTGGCTAAACGCTGTGATCTTCTTCTCCGTTGGCTATGTTTGTAGGATCTAGGGGAATTCACTGGCTGTGATGGACCTAAAAAGAGATCTTTCAATGTTCATGAAGCAGAGAGATACACCATCATCTTACCGCAGCATTTGAGATCTAAAGATGGGGGAGTTCTTTTAATAGCTCTTATTTGCAAAGCTGGTAATCACAGCCAAACTGGTAAAAGTAATTACAGAACTGTGACTACGAGGAGCAAAGAAAGACTTTTGCTCAAGACATGATTCTGGTTTTTGCTTATTATAAATTACTAGGACACCTACACTTCCCCACTGGTAAAAGTGATTGTTTTAGGCAAGCAGTGTATTTACAGTAAGCAACCCTCCCCATAAAACCCACGCAGCAGGTGACTTATAATGGAAGGGGGGCAATAGGATTTAACAATAAACAGAACAATTGATCACAGTTAAAAGATCTAAAAAGTCATGGATAGTGTTAACATACAACTTAAAAAAAAATAACTGAAAACAGTGTTTAATTTTATATCCCACCTCCTGCCTTCTGATAACCTGATATCAATACCCCAACTGAAATTCAAACACACACTGCCAATGCATGGCACAGTAAGAAGGCTGAAGAACTTTATACTTAAAAAAGCCCAAACAAATGGGAGAGGAGGACTGATATAGGTTAATATAGGCCTGATTCATTAAAAACAAAAAACCCACATTCCCCTACCTTACTTCAGTATTACCCAGTTCCACAAAATTTTGTGTTAGAGAAACGTTTAAATTGCTATTACTGTAAATCACTGCTCTCTCCTTTGTGTAAGCAGTTTTTAGAGACAGGTATACAGATTTAAAAATTAGGACACAGCAAAACTAACTTTCCACTAGAGGTAGAAAAAAGTTGGAAGCCAAAGATTAAAGACAACACTAACAAGACCTAAGCTACTAAGTAACCAAGCTTCAAATTATCTGGTTTTTTAAAAAAATTGCTACAGAGAAGTCCAACTTAATCCAAAATAAAAGCATGCTTCAGGAAAGCTACTTACCATTGCTCTAGGGGTGGGGATGGAAGGCATATTACAATATAGATGACTGCTAACATTTTGTGGGGACAAAATACAATTTTTACCAATGTGTCCTGAATAAAGAAGGCTGAATTTGCACTCCTCCCTCTCCCACTCATTTAATGTTATCTATGAGCAAAGATTAAAAAGAAACTTGTCTCATAAGTGAAAATACAAAATCAAGGTTGAGGGGAACACATGATGCAGGTTGAGTCTTCCATCCTCAATCACTATACTAAAATGAAAAAAAAATGTAGCTTTTGACTTAACTGAAACTTGCATTTATGTTAACCTCATGTAATATTCTTTAGGCAAAGAATCTGGCACTAAGCAACACTAAAAAACCTAATGTGATCACAAAAAAAAATCATAGGAATACCTTAATATTCACAAAAAATAGCATATTCAAGCATGCAGCATAAAGCTTTCCCTATTCTTCTAATAAACTGTATCTTTGTGCTTGGCAAATCAGTTACACATTAAGAAGCTGAACACCCATGGGATTTTTCTGGGACAAGGAAACACAATTTTTAATATTTCTCCACCACAGATCTTGAATTCTCTTTCACATAGTGTTTGGAGGAAATATCACATAAGGTAACGAATGGCACAGCCAACAGGTACAGAACATCAGCCTGCTGAAGGTGAAGTTTCAGAGAAGGAAAGGTCCACACCAAAGTGTATGTCTTTTCTTTTTAATGAATCAGGCCCTTTTCAGAAGGGAGGTTTGATTTTTCCTGTATCGCTGTTAATGCTAGTGTGGAGATTTAAGCTAGAAGGAAAGCCAACCCTTAAAAGCCATGACTCTATAAATATCAAGATATTATTTAAATGTATTATTTATGGTAGAGTATTATGTGACTTGACTTTTAAAATAGTGAGCTACCCCTAATTCTCCCACTTGGACATTTTATTTAAAGCAGATTCACTTTTAAAAGCAATAGCCATTTACAACCAAAGAAAATTTCTGTATATCTCTTAGTAGTTACGGTATTTTTTTTAAAATGTCTGTGCTCACTAGTTTTATTTATCACAGAAGAAGGAAGCTGAGAGACCAGCGTCAAATCCTCGACTTGTATTAATTCTGGGGAAAGTGGTGATTTAGGGGGCTTTATACACCCGGAAGAATCTCCAGATTCTTGTTTGCATTTCTTGCTGCGAGCCTTTCCTGAAGACAAAGTTGAGGATAACAGTGCAGGTTTCTGAATGCTGGCAGAACTGCTAATATCAGCTTCATTTTTTTTCTGACTTTGTGGTTTAGGTGAAATCTCCTGAATAAATAATAAAAAATTGATACTTTTATTTCAGTTTCTTCGTTGTAGTTCTTGTATTCTATTTTGATCTTTTTAAAAGCAATTTTAGCACTCAAACACATAATAAAGCAACATTATTTTAAGTACAAATAAAAACTATTTAAAATGCACCATATTAAATTTTGCTTTTTTTAAAGGAGCACTACCAATTTTTTTCAGTATTCAGAATACTCAATTCGTACTATTTGAAATACCTACGAAAAACCTGAACATAAAATATTTTCCCTCTAATCCCAATTTAAAAATTCAATAAAGTATTTTTAGTTTTCTCCTTCATCTTCATTGTCAGTGCAGTCTCCGAGCAGAACCTGGAGAGCATCTCTTCCCAGCCAGACCACAGACACTGATGTACCATCACAGAACATCTCATGCTGGAAGGGACCCAGAAGGATCCTCAAGTCCTCCTCCCTGCTCCTCACAGGGTGCCTGCTGCTGAATCATGACTGGGAGAAGTGTCCTTGAACTCTGGCATTGCTAAGAGCAAACAATCCTTCCTCAGAAGGATTGCAGTTCTAAAGAAGGTTGCCAAGATTTTCCCCACACAGTCATTTCCCCTTTTCCAGAGGTCAAAAAAAAGAAAAAAAAGAAAAAATAAGAAAAAAAAGGGCAATTCCTCAGGAAAACTATATCTAAGAGGGAATTTTTATCTTTGAGAAACTGAAAAAGTTGATAATGCTCCTTTAAGGAATGTCTGAAACAATGAGAAGTTTCCAATACTGAGCACACTCTCGCACAACCCCTTTCAGTGCTGGGAGTCTGGATTTCACCACATTATAGATTTGTGCAAACATAAAGAAATCACAACTTCTAGCACCACAGGGTTAAACAGACTGCTAACTGTCAGGGGAAAACTGGCAGATGAAGAGTTAAAACAGTTTTTGAAGGAAAAGAAGTCAACATATAACACATCTTTCCAAATTCCTCAATTTTCATCCTTCTTAACACAAACAGTACTATTTTTAGACCATTAGCATGCATTGACAGACATTAGCACTTGAAATTTTTCACTGGAAGTTCTTCCTACATTACCAAAACTGTGCATGTGTTACAACTTGCCTAATAAGGCAATATCTGAATATAATTTCTTAGGCCTGTCTCCCTTTTCATCCCAGTTACATCACACAGCATAGTAACATCTAATAAAACCATAACTAACAAAGCAGAAAGGTATTTCCAGAACATGTGCACCACTTTATCCAAACTAGAAACATCACCTCTCTTGTGAGTTAAGGGTATTATTGAGTTTTGATATAAATTGCAGTTTTATTTTCCACTAGAACTTCCCATGTTCCAATGGAGGAAAACGAAAAAAAACCACAAAACAAAACCCCACAAGTGCACATTCTACATCTGTAAAAGGGTGCCCCTGAATTCTACATGAACGGCTCACTGGGAGTATCCTGTAAAGATCCGGTGCAAAATATCCCATGCAGCAGACATCAGTTCTACCTTGCAGAACTCCATTACACACATACTAAGTGCAGTTTATTCATTTAAATAAAATATTCCATGAACTGTAGAGTATACCTATGCTGGTTATGAGAGGTAGTATCAGAAATTAATTAGAGTCGTAACTTGTAAATAAACAATTTTATTGTTCATCTTCACAGATGTGAAAGACATACTACAGCATCCATTACTTTCAAATTACAAAGTTATTTAAACAAGATTAAAAAACTTAAATTAAGATTTTGATAAGGTGCTTAACCTCTTAACAGGACAAATTAACATTAAAAACCTTAATGAATTAATGTTATCCATCTACTCAGGTCTTGGTCAAAAGGAAATATAACATGACATACCCTAATACAATTAAATAAACTACTGTATCTGCAACTAATCATCTGAGGTTTTGGGTTTAAGACAACTGTAAACTAAAAATGTATAAATATAAACAAAAATTTGCATCAACAGAGTCAGTTTTCGGCTATTGGCCTGAATATTTCTACCATATTTTGCATTACATTATTAAAAAAACCTACCAGATACTTTATCCATTCAATTTTATAGCAGTAGCAGACAAAGCCTCTGAGGAATGTCAGCTTCACTATCGGAAAACCTTTTGGGGAGGTTTATAACTCGGCCATTTTAATTTCACTTTGCACAGGAACTCAGTGAAAAAAGCTTTAAGCTCAAAAAATTTCCTCCCCACATTCAATCGTTTAAATGTTTGTGAGGTTTCTGGTTTTAGCTATACACAAAAGAATAGGACTATTTGGGATTTTAGATGCCTCTTTAAAAGAGCTTAACTGTTATTTCCAAAAAATGAGGTTTTTCAGACCATTAGCATGTAAACAATGACAGAGACATCTTGTTTTTTATATCTGATCAATAAAACAGGAACAGCCGAGTTACTAAGTCTGAGAAATAACAAAAAGGTTATAGTAAATATGCACTGCAGTTTATACTGTTGCATACACAGTCTATGTAAACCACAAAGTCCCATTCACCGTAATGGGATTCTGCATGGCAAGATTTACATTGTAATGATTCTCCCAAAAACAACATGCTGTAAGCCATTTCACAGTTTTTTGCACATTGAAAATATCACACACAGTAGCAAGAAAATCATAGCATCTTTAATATGCAAAAATTTGAGAAATGGAATGTCATGTCAGTACACTGTAAACCTTTATGCAAAATATCGGTCAATGCATCGGCACCGCAGTGGTTCCACCAGCCCTGACAGTGACAGCATCAAAAACAGAAAATCAGGTTCCATTGACTCTCATCCAATGCAGCATCAATGGAAAAACCAGAGCAATGCAATTATATATCAGCTCTAAAGAACCAGTACAACCAAAATATCAAATCAGGTCTGGGGTAGGGACTGATCATAGAGTGTGCCGGGGCTAAAGAACACAAGTGCTTGCTAAAGAATTGCAGGCAGCAAGGCTACTTCGTTCAAATGCTGCTGTTAAAGAATGAAAATGCATACAAAAAAGCTGTATTAAAGATACATTAAGGCTCTGATTTAAATAATTGGAAAACAAAGATGTCCTGAATCAAGACCACTGTTCATCCTTAGCTTGCTTTACCATGCTCAGGCATTCAGCCCTTTTAAAATGCAAGATAATGCACAACTCGGAGTCAAGCAATGCCTGAACACAGCACAATAAGCCAAAGACAAAATGGCAGCCTCCAGATCCTGCCAATATGCAGGTTTAAAAATCAGACCCTTAACATTATTTAAAAGTTTCTTTTTTGTATTTATTAAAATACACACTCTTGCAAAATGTATGGCTCATCGAGCAGTTCATAAAACACATACAAGCCTACAACACCAAATTCTTACAATATAAAAAACTTCTTTTAAAAGAAGTTCTAAGTGATGTCAAAAACCCTGTTTCAAACACAAATCAAATTTGTGTAAGGGCCTGTTTCTAAGCCAGTTGTCATTCCAGCTATAAAACTGGACCTTGGGACACTGGTCTCCTCATATTTTTTACATGGAGACTTTATTTTGTTTTCTGTTAGTTTTCTAACACAAAAGCTCGTCATTGAAATTCAAGTTAACACTGTGTTTAGAGACAATTAAATTCCATACTTCTGGCTCTGCCAGAAATGTAAACATAAGATAAATTTTCAGTTCCCTGTTATATCTGAAGGGGAAAATTTTTATGTTGTAGGTACTACATCTCCATGGCACACTCCAGTGGGAACTTTGCAAAAGAATCAAACTCTACCATTTCATACCTGCTCCAGGACTGGAGCTGTTTCTTTGTTGCCTTCCTTTTTTTCAGCACCATCTGCAACAACAGCTTTGGATGCCAATAAACCTTAGGAGAAAAGTTGCAAATATTTTTAGTTAGAAGTACCTTGCAACAAGAATTCGTAGAGAAAGAAAGAAATATTGAGACAAGAAATATGAACTACACAAATCTACAAAATAAGAAAATGGCTTTCTGAAATGCTTCCACAAAAAGCTGAACACCTTAAATTAGAAGAAACAAAAAGTTAAATGACATCCCAACAATGGCATGCTTACATAGGAAGCATTTCTTTGGCATATTTACTGACAAGAAAATCAAATTATCAATTCTAAAATAAAGCTTTGACATTCTTCCAAAGCCCAAGCACTTGAGCTTTAAAACCAAACGTATGACACGTAAATTAATCTTGAAATCAGAATTGTTTACAAAACTTCTCTCTCCTCTTTCCAGTCTTTGAGAAATTTACATCAGAATTTGTATTACCACTTCTTAATTATAACACATGCAAACCTTTCTTAGACATAATACAACCAAGGATTTAATTTCCAAACAAATGTTCTCAACAGTGGAGCTCCCAGATTACCTCAATAAGATTACCATATTGGGAGCAAATAATATATGGCAATAGGTAACTTCATTCACCAACTTATGTAAAGTATCATTACTACAAAAAATCTGGAAAGACAAGGGGCATATAAATACAAGAAAGCTTTCTGTCAGTGAAATATGGCAATAGCTTCAGTTGTACCTACACAATAACTTTAATTGCCTAACAATGCAGAGACAGAAGTTCTACACCATTAAGAAAATACAGAACTAATAAAACCCAAAAAAACGAATCTGAATGAAAATTTCTATTATAATCTCTGGGAATGTCAATATTAGGAGTGAGGAGTTCAAGTCCTCAACATTAACATGACAAATTCAGAGGGAATTGCTAGTGCCTTCCATAAAAATTAGATATGGCCAAAATTAATATAAGGTTCACAATGTCCAAGGAGTTATAAATTAGTGATGCCTGGGCTCTCAGGAAGTGTTCAACACATTAAAACAAAACAAAAAAACTTCAGCATTCAACAATAAATTCCAAGTGTTTTATCTTATTTACTATTTATGTTAGATTAAGTTATGCTTTAGTTTAGCTTAACTGAAAAACAGAAACTTTCTTAATCCTATTAGATAAAAATGAAATTATCAGGTAAGATTTTAATTCTGCATTATATTACATACAACATTTAGTTTTTATGGACTTAAATGAACATTTTAAACTCAAATTATCCTATTTAAATCAAGTTGTAAAAATTGCAGTGTTATTTTCTTTGCAATCATACATTTATATCAAAAAGTGTAAAATAATTTTCAAAGTCAAAGTGAAGTTGAGTTTTAAATACAAAAAAAAAAAAGCAAGCTACAGTTTATGAGGCAGTGTTTGTGGTGCTGTAAGCCACAGGCTGCCCAGAAAGAGTGCCCCATCCCTAAGGGAGTTCAAGGCCAGTCTGGATGGGGCTTAGAGAAAGCTGGTCTAGCGGATAATGTTGGAATTAGATGACCTTTAAGTTCTCTTCCAACTCAGACCATTCTGTGATTCTCAGATTCTCTGATTTTTAGTTTTAGCTAGATGATCCCTGCTCAGAAATTGAAGCTATTAAATCACTCTAGAGTCAGATCTGCCACTATATAATCCTTATGATTTCCCTTTTCTCTACACCATTAAGTATTTTTCTAACCAGGCACCATGTCTGTAGGACAAAGCATCCCCACAAGCTACTGCAAGCCAGGACTACAGGCTCACCACCCTGTCTGTAAGAGCACCCAACAAAGCCAAAGCAGGGAGTGGCCCAGTGAACCAGGAATGTTTTGTTCTGCAAGCTCACTGCAGCTTTTATCTGGTTTTAGGTACCAACAGAGCAGGAGAAGATGTAGAAGCAAACATTCCAACAGAGGCAAAAACTGATTGGAATATGACATGAATATGTGCTTAGCAGAGGATATTCTTCACCTTTGGGAAATGTAATTGCTACCAGTGCTAGTAGCAAAAGAAAGCACAAAGGTGAATGGTGAGCAAAGAATACTTGATGCAGCTGTGGGCCTTGTGGCAGATGAGAAGACCCTTCTCCATCAAATGTTGAATGCTGAACTGAAATCCAGGGAACAGTTCCCTTTATACAGCTTCCAGCAATAGTGTTTTGTACTATTTCCCCAATACAGCCATAAAAACCTGGTAAATGTTTTCCTAACAATTACAACTCTTATTATTTTGTAGCCACTCCAATGGGTACACCAGCATTATTCCCAACCTTCCTTCAAATCTAAAAGCTGGTGCTGGAGACAAAAATGTCACAATACAAGTGTACACTGATATACAATATATTGTGTATTGTATATACAAGCATTTAACACATAGGAAATAAACATGTCTCAAGAAAAAATTTGATCATCAGCAGTCACATTTTCAAAATGTACTGGTATAAAAGACTTAGTATGGTATGAACTGCAGAAGTGTGTTAATTTGAGAACAGATACATGAAGTATCTACAAGGCAAGACTAGTTTCTTCTTGCATTTAAAAGATTAATACACTTTCAATGAAAGTTAACACATCCTCTGCTAGCCAAGTATGTCTTGTAGAGACAGACACACTGTTTTAAAAATTGTAACAGTCAATGGCTGCAAAATCATGGTTTGATTATTCAGTTCAGTTTGTATGAACCTGTGCCACTAGTATGATTCTCATAACATTCCTGAGGTAATAACAATCTATGCAGACACACTGTTTTAAAAATTATAACAGTCAATGGCTGCCAAATCATGGTTTGATTGTTCAGTTTGTATGAACCTGTGCCACTAGTATGATTCTCATAACATTCCTGAGGTAATAACAATCTATCCTCAAGCAGAGGCAAATATAATTTCTAAAGTTAAAGGTTTTTCAGCTGGTTTTGGTATCTATTGCTATTAACTGCTATTGGAAAGAAATTAACAGGGCTCTGTCAATATGTATCTCTAGTCTCTACATCTTATACTACTACTGCTCATGGCAGCAATTAAATTGGAACTTAACTGAAAATGTATGTAGCATGGGAAAGAAGAAGAGAAATGCAGCTGATAAATTTGACATCCATGAACAAAACTTGCAACCAAAGAAGGAGCTTTCCAGGAATGACAATCCAGGAGGCAGAAGATGGGTTTTTCTAAAGACTGCTTCCTTCGTAAGAAAATAACAGATCCTTTTCATCCTTTCTTGGATGAAAAGCAGGACATGAGCTGCCAACACTCTCCTGGGCTGCATCACAGGCACTGTGGGCAGCAGGATGATGGAGGTGATTCTGCCCCTCTGCTCAAACCCCACCTGCACTGCTGTGTCCAGCTCGTGGGTCCCAGCACAGGGAGGACATGGACCTGCTGGAGTGAGTCCAGGGGAGGGACAGAGGTGGTCAGAGGGCTGGAGCACCTCTCCTGTGAGCAAAGGCTGAGGGAATTGGGATTGCACAGCTTGGAGAAGAGAAGGCTCCCGGGGGACCTCACAGCCTAAAGGGGGTCTACAAGAGAGCTGGAAAAGGACATTTTAGAGGGGCATGTTGTGATAGGACAAAAAATAATAGATTCAAACTTAAATGTTTAGATGTATGTTTAGATAGGAGAAGGAAATTCTTTCCTGTGAGGGTGGGGAGGCACAGGTTGCCCAGAGAAGTTGTGGATGCCCCATCCCTGGAAGTGTGCAAGGCCAGGTTGGATGGGGCTTTGAGCAACCAGGTCTAGTGGAAGGTGTCCCTGCTCATGGCAGCAAGGTTTAAAGCAGGTGAACTTTAAGGTCCCTTCCAACTCAAACCATTCCATGATTCATAGCATTTTATTTTTACTGATTGAGAGACTAAAACAGAACCATTCTCATAAGAAAACTGACTAAACATCCTCCACCAACGAAAGACTGGATAAACCAAAACATGCAAAAAAAAATCTCTCACTATACATTTTAGCAAATTCAGTTATTTTTGTTTTGCAGAAACAAGTAAGAATTTTTATCTACTTTCAAAAAAAAAAACCCAACAAAAAAAGCCCCTATTATTTGTAACACAGAAAAGTTTACCAGCCTTCACATGAAATACTGTTCACTAGAATAACAAGTGGAATTAATTTCTATCTTACAGTGTGTCCAAGGACTCCTCTGTTAAGGGAGGGACTCCACAACTTTTTTCAACCCAGCTTTTGAAATGCATCTGATACTTTCCCAGCACAGGTACAAACATAACACTTTGTCCTAAATACTGACAGGATTAAAGCTTTCTTATTTGGAGGACTCTAAATTGATTTTTTTTTTCCCGGGATAAGTAAATTCCTATTAAATTCTGGAATAAATGCATTTTTCAGCTTTTAAAGATAAGACAAATTGATTCATTTCCTGTTGTATAGCATGTATTCTGTAGTAATATCCCTGTTTTCCATTAATATGTTTGAGCAATAAAGATAAGGAATGAATGCTTAAGACACTGAAAAAAAAAAGTCAGATCTTTATATCTTCAACTTGTAGGGATGTTTATTTCTAAATGAGAAACTCTTTTTAGCAAAAATTTCACTTCAGGAAGAAATATTTTCTGTTTCTCCATAGCTAACCCTAGCTTTAATTTATAGTAGTATGCAATTCATACTACTGACATTCTTAAGAAGTTGCATAAACCCAAAATCACCAATAATGAAGAAAACTGTACAGTTAGAAGTAAAATATGCTCAAGAAATTAAACAATTCAGGATGGCTTCTATACTAAAAAACTAAAAAGACCAAGTACAGTCTGTGACCAATTTATGAACCAGGTAGGTTTTACCATTTATGAATTCCTTTAAAATTCTAAACAAGTACAGACTGCAGTGACCATCTGCCTCATGAATGTGATTCTATGCAATCTACTTCAGCACCTTCTTTACAAACATGAATATTTCAATACATGAAAAAGGAACAAAGTCAACAACAAAAAAACTCTTTTACCAGTGATCTTGTTTAGGCGAGCTCTCTTGGCCTGAAATGAGTTGCCTAGATTACTTTTCCTCTTGTGTGATAACGTGCTCTCTGACTGCACAAAGGGCATCTTTGGAACATCCACTACAGGAAATCCTACTTCTAAACACAAGAAAAACCTCATTAACTCACATGTCATAAATGCATAACACCCAAAATACTTAAGTATTTCAGAACTACTAATAGAATACTGTAGTAAAGAAACTTTAAATGTTTATAAAAAGTTAAATGATACATTCTGAAGATCTAGAATTACACACTGAAACAATAAATTGAGACTATCTAAAAATTTGTAATTTTTACTGAATGTTGTGAGAAACAAGCATTAAAGACCTAAAATGAACAAATCTTATCAACTCAGATACAGTTTCAAACACCTCTGAATATTGATATAGCATGCATATTGGAATTTTTTTTTTCTTAAAATAAGATCAGGGATTATCTCACAGGGAAGAGAAGAGACAGGAATATCAACCAAATTGTACAATAAAATAATTAAGATAAAATTATGTTCTGCTCTTGATAAAGTTAGTCAGAAGTTTAGCACAAGCAGTAAATGATGACTGAACTAGATTTATCTGATAAAATAGTTTTTGAATCTATTACCATTATGTATCAGAAGGTTATCATAACAGCAAATGTGACATTTTCCTCTAGAAATATTAGTTATGGCTTAACTGCAAAATTAGCAGCAAGAGTTCAACACTACAGAAAAACCAATTTTATGTTTATAGAATGTGCTTTTACCAAATGTGTCACTAGATGTAGGCTCCTCTTCCTTTTTTTGGACTTCCTGCATGATTGTAGAGGTTGAGGTTTCTTCCTTTTTTGAAGGGACTTTTAGCCATTTTCTGTCCTCTTTATCTTTATTGCTGTTTGCACTGGTTCTAGGTTTACTTCCTGCTTTGTTCTTGGCTGCTGCAGCAGCAGCAGCTTTGACCAAAGCTATCCAATCCTCCAAAAAGGAAAAAATGGTGAGTAAGCATTATAAAGTGCCTAAGACTCAAACAGAAAACATCCGTAAACCCAGTGAACTTTATCTAGAAATGTTCAAATGAAATCCAATTTATTTTTATGGTTACTACTCAAAGGGTGCTAAAATTTACCTTCCCAAATTTCCAAATAAACTTGCAGCATTATCAGTATACCACATGGATAAAAAGAAAAAAATCTTCCAAAAACACTGTATATGGAATTCTGGCTGTACACATTCCCTGTTAAATTACTTTTTGTGTCATTGCTTTAGAAACCCAGGAGCTCCCAGTCCCAGAAGACTGACATTCTTCTTACCCTTCTGGCTCTGAAACACACAATTCCATAGTTGTTGACCTATAATGCAAAGCAACAACTGCCTCAAAGCAGTGTTTAGCTGCATGGAAATCCTCCTGAACTAAGGTGATAAACCAGGGATAACTCCTATCTCATTACACCTTTGTTTCTCGAGCAGAAACAGACTCTTCTACAGACTCTTTTACTATTATATATTACAGATTTCATTCACTAAGTTCAATAAAGTACGCTATAGTATGACTGAATGTCACAATTTATATTTAAGGTAATTAAGCATCATTTTGCATAATTGCTTATTTGTAACATACTGAAACACTGAAGGGGGGAACAATACATCCCACTCTAATCTACTTTTTGGCATTTAGACCAAGTCAAGCCACCCTACAAGGCAATGGAAAGAACTTCCTTGGCTGAGCCAAGCTCTTTCCACTAGTTTAGAGCAATGAGACTCCACCATTATGTCTCCTGAATGTCAGGGATCAATCTGACTGCCAAAACTGTAATTGATCCTTTTAACTAAAGTATTTTTTTGAATTTTCTATAACACTGAGGTACAATATTCTTCCATGGAGAAGTTATGTGCAATATAGAAGGCAGTAGAACTGATCAACCAGTCAGAATGAAGCACCTGAATGCTCTGAATGACAAGTACTACCACACACAAAAAAAAAAAAAAAAAAAAAAAAGAAAAAGACATTTTGTTTAATTACCCATGAGTGCTTTACAAATAGTACTTTTTTTTTTCCTTAACTGCATACAGAGAGTTTTATTCTGGAATATCTCCTTGTTGTTATGTCATCATATGAGATACTCAAAGTAGCTTGATTTTACAAATCTTGTTCCAGTGCAACCTTTTCCCCACTCATTACATATTATAAGCCTTTCAAGTTTCTGTTCTGTTGAGGGTTTCTTTGCCTTCTTTGACATAAGAGGAAATCATAACACAGAGTTAATTCTCTTTGCATTATGCTTTTCCTTTTCCATAGTTCAATACCTTTAAATCACTGCTTCATATGGGTTATGCTTCTTCTTTACACCAACTTACATACTTAGAAACGGCAACAGTTTTGATTCCTCTGAGATAAAGTGTTCCATGTCCACACTGTCAGTGCAAGATGCAGCCAGCAGCAAAGTCTGGAAGCACTTTGGCAACGCTCACACAACAGGCAGCTACTGAGGCCACGTGGTGACATGCCAGCACAATCGAGCGTGTCTAACTGCCAGCTGCATGGTCAGTCTAAAGCACACATACCTCTCTTTTGGCCAGCCAAAATGAGCACACCTACTAGCTCCAGTCCATCCAGAGCCTTGCCCATAACCAGGATAAAAAAAAAGATTGAGCTATTTGTAGTGGTGAGGAATTAGGAGACCTGAGAGTAGAAGTCTTACACTGTACCCTGGCTAAGGGATGAAGAAGATCAGTAACATGGCTGGAGATTAGATCTTATGATGAAAGTGGGAAGGGGAAGTAGTGCAGCCTGCATCAAAACAGCTTCTAAAGACCATCCTAATTTTCAGTCAAGCTAAGCACGCTGGAATCAAAAGCTTTCAGAAGATACCAAGCTTCCAAAGATGATGCTGAACCAAGTATCCTGGTCTAAGTGTAGCTGGTGCAACATGGAAAGGAGTTTTGTGGTTTTCTTTGTATTTAATTTCGCTGCTTGGACACTGTTCTTACAACATGGAGTTTACAGTAGCAGGACACACAACAATGAAGCAAACAAAGGTTGAACATTCAGAAACCAGAGAAGAGACACATTCATTATGGTGACAGTCATACTTTTTTCCAAGATTAACATCATTAACAAATTTAAACTCAGTGAAGAGAACCTGAAGCAGTTGTGATGGACAAGATTATGACAACAGATTCCTTCCAACTTAAAATAATTTTGTGATTCTGAATTGTTCAGAAACTCTGTGGGTCCATTTTTGTTTTGGCTCTGGAGTAAACATACAGGCACTAAAGTGACACAGTTAATGCCTGCTTTTTAACCTTGAATTACTGCTGAGTGATTGCTCAGCAGCACAGCTCCTGACATGAGAATTATTTATCATCTAAAATGGTAAGGTGACTATATTTTTTTTGTAGAGCACACAGAATTCCTCATTCAAAAGGATACATTTGTGTCTTTTTCAGAATTGTTACCAAGAAATTAACAAAACAATTGAAGAATAATAGTGGGATCCTAAAGCATGATAAATTCTGAAATCTGCCTCAGGCTAATAGTATATCTATTCTATCAACCATAATAGCAGGACGCTAAATATCATAGATATCACAGAAACTAGTTACAAATTTTAACAGTAGGACAATTTCCCAGATCATACAAAGCAAAGGCCCAAATATGAACACATTTGAAATTAACAGAGTAAAAGCAAAATCCTTCTAAGAGAAGTTTTCCCTACTTTTCTTTCATTTCCTGACATTGTCTCTCTATTGGAAGTAGTTGTTGAACTCTGAACCAGCTACTCTGCATCATCCAGCCTGATTTCCCACTTCCCTCAGTATCTCACCTCAGTGAGCTTCTCATTTATATTTGTAACTTTAAAAAAATATAAAATACATCCAAAAATGTGTATTTCCTTCTTCTTCTTTCTTACTAAAATTCAGCTTTCACGTAAACTGAGAAAATTGACAGGAGAATAGTAATGACCCACAGCAGTTAGAAAACAAAGCATTACTTTATGACTACTGAGGAAAACTGTCATTATGCTAATTAGATTCACTAAATCAAAACACAGGAAATTGCATGATCAAGAAATACATCAGCAGAAATTACTTAACGGCCTTACACATCAATTGGCTAAAAATCTTGTATTTTAAAATATTCCTTGTGTAACCATAATCCTTCAACAGTGGGAAGGCAAAACCAGAATAATTTCCAAGATCCAACCCTTGCGTCAGTAGCAGAATTCACACATACATCGCTCTCCCTCCACCTGCCTACAACCACCACCTTTTTGCTTCTCCACAGTACTAAGGATTCAGCTGCTTTTTCCTCTTCTGTCACACCATAACTTCCAACTCCCACACGTTCATACATACACATACATAAAACATGAATCTACAGACTGGCTGATTCCACATCAAGCCTGGATTCCTTACCCTCACCTTTCAATTCTACACAGTCTGCCCCACCTACATCTTGGCTCACATTGTCTCCTGTCACATCTTCTTTTTTTCCTCTGGCCCATTCGCAAATCCATGCTTTTTTCCTCAGCTTCCTCTTCCTGTGTGCCAAGTCCCCTCCCTCTCCTTCAAATCCCTCCTCAAAACTCACTTCTTTTGGTTCGATTTCCGTCACTAATCTCAGCTCCGGCGCTATCTGCTCCCTCTCGCGCGCCTGATTACATCGAAGATAAAACAAAAAACATGAAACAGAAAAAGTAAGTTATCCAAACACTTCATATGTGCTCTCACAAGGGCAGTCTCAATATCCCTTTTTTCCCCTCTCTGTACTACGTTAGTCACAGATCTGTGTGATTTTGAATAATTTGTGCTTATCTGAACCACAGCTGAGCCTCAAGACTCATTGCACTGAGACAAATATTTTTCACTCTTTAAAAATTTTGCTTTTCTATCCTCATTACTGAATTTTATTAAAACGCACTTCTGCTGCAACTCAGGAATAGTTTGAGTGCTATAGCACCTACAGTCTTTTCCTTCAAGTCACACTAAGCTCAAATCAAAGTAATAGCTAATCTCTATCTCTCTCCAAGTAATTTGAATTCTGCATGCTTAGCACACACCTTCCACAAAGATCTTAAAATTCGTTAAATTTATTGATGTACAAGAACTTGAAGTATCTTAAGTTTACACTCATCTCTGGAAATGTATTTTTTAGTTTGCATACAAAGAAAATACAGGTTATAAGTTTAAATTAAGCATGAAGCGTTGCATCTGACAACTCTAATTTTTCAAATCAGTTTACAGTCTTGGCATTTTTGTAACCTGTACATAAATTTTAGTAAACGCTTTCTTACAAAATACATAATGCAAAAGAGCAAAAATATGCAGGGGAGTTTGAGGCTTAAACAAAGCTCAGTCTCAAATAACTAATTATCAACCAAATCTTAGTTCACATTTTTATTCTGAAATAACAAAAAAATCACTTAGAAAAACAAACATTTTTCCATTGCATTATATGCAAAAGAAGTTGCAAGAAAAGTTATATCTTTGCCTTTGAAAGCTACAGACTTTCATGCTTATTTCTTATTTTGCAGGATTAAATGCTACAACTAGTATCAATCAGCACTACAGAAAGCAGAGTTGGAGGTGTTCTTGTATTCAGGCAACTTAAAAATTCTAAATCCATCTCAGAAAGTGTAAATTTGTGCCCCCAGTTTCTTCTCAAACTTCATTGAAGCAGCCTACATTCAACCCCCAAGATGCATAAGTGGCACCATAACTCTCAACTACTGAGAAAAATCAGAAATAACAGATGAGCTGGACTGCCACCAAACAAGTCTGGACAACATAATGGTTGTGAAGTAATGGATTTACTCTTTTTTTTTTTAAAGCTGAAATTGCCTGTGGCCTAAAGAGTAGTAACTAAATATTAGACACAACATTGCTCCCTAGAAAAAGCACAGGACAGAATCAGGGAGACTTTCCACTGTCACAAAAGGCTTATTTCTTTTCTGTCACAATCACGTTACCAGAGTTTTGTTTTTTGTAAGTAAAAAGGAACACTCAAGCTTTCTAACTTACTGTCATACTGACAGTATTCCTTGAAATACCACACACTGGTTCAACAGTTACTCTAAGACTGCAGCAAGAAGCCAGGGTTAGTGTGACTATAGATCTCAGTTTAATCTCCTTCAGGAAACATCTTTTAAATAATGCAGTGATGTCTGCACTAAGTTCCAGTGTCCCCTGCACAGTGGATCAACCCTACCATACAGCTACCTTTACCCTGGAGGCCAGGATGTGGAGATGCTTTCAAGCCAATTCAATTATCCATCTGCCCTGGTCACAATATGGATGGCTACAATGGTAATTATGAAATATTTGAAGTCTGCAAAGTTAAAAGTATTCTGAAGAAAACTAAGAGCAAACAAAGACCAGTTTTCATGGATTTTGTCTCAAATAGTTTCAGTGGAGTAATTTCTCATTAAATATTAAACACAGTTACCATGCAAAATAAATGCAATGGCACTTACACTGAAAGCGTGTAAGAGTTTTCAATGATGTTTCCCTTTCACAAGTAAAGATAGGCCTAGTGACTAAATCATGTCCTCTACTTCATAGTCTCCCTCAACTTCTGTTGAGGATCTCTTCTTTAACAGCAACTGGACATTATAAGAGACAAGAAATACTTATCTGTCTGATTGCCTGAAAGTTCTGATACAGGGGAAAAATCCCCAAAGTCATGTTCGTAAAAACATGTGGGCAAAAAGCTCTCATGCAAACAAAAGATATGGGCATAGGGTGGGGAATAAATAACATTTTAAAAAAAATCAGCAGCACAGACTGCTGATAAGCTAAAGCTTTTTTCCTGAAAAGACACCAGAGGGAAAAGTCATTGGATGCCCCTGGTTTTGCAAACTCTGTAAGACAAGGCTTTGTGAGGAGATTAGTTGGCAATGGAGTGTCCAGCAGCCAGACATTTCAGTGAGGCAAGGCCACTTGAGCAGCACACTCTGAGGCATCATCATAAACTGGTGAAGCAAGGCAGTGCAGGGCCTAGAATAAAGACTAATCTAAATCTAGTTGTGCTACTGACACTTCTACGGTCTCATGACAGAAAAAAAACAAAAAAACAAAAAAAAAACCACCAAAACAAACCCAAACAACTACACAAAACCTAACAAAGCAATTACTCTAATTATTCTTACCTGCCCTTTTGCATCCTCTGGCATAGATTTGATATGCATCCTTTTAAGACATCGAATAACACCATCATAGAATTGCACTGTAAACGTTCCTAGAATGGATTGAGGGAATCACTATGAGTAGTTAAGACACAAACACACTTTGTTACTATGAAAGCTTTATGTTCTGCATGTTACTTTGTATGACAAGAGTAACCAGCTGTTGCCACTAGACAGGATTATGAGAGGCACAAAAAAACATAAATGACAGAAATTCTGCTTTAATACTGTTACTCTTTGTCCAGCTGGGCATTTTCAAGTATGTTTAAGCTATTGAGTCACATCTGCCCATAATTCATTGAAATAGTTATGTAATATTTAAGGTGTCACACTAGGGAAATATTTCAACTTCATCCAAGTCCTCATTTGCTCTAAACTACAGTAAAAATGTCAATTTCTTATGTTCATTAGAAATATCACCATTGTGAAGTATTTAATCTGTGTTCCCTTATTTTTCTATTTCCACTGGTTTTTTTCAATAATAAGAGTGAAAACAATGATGAAATTATGAAAATTTAAATAGAACTTTAACTCAAATCAGCAATAGTACAAAATAGTCCTAAGACTGTGCACAGGAACTTCTGATCATTGAAACAGTAAAAACATTTTAAAAAAGCTTTTTATCTTCTAGGAAAAATTTCACTTTTCAAATTTGATACAGATAAAAGACAAACATTTAACTAAATTTGATATAAAAAACACTTGCACTTAATATTGGGGCAGAGAGGAAAACTTTATAGCCATATCACTTTTTTAAGCAGACTAAATCTACAGCACAGCATTTTCAACCAGACCTTACCAATGGATCATTGCAATACATACCCTCTTTATTAATTGCTTCAATCTTTGCAGGGTAATATCGACAGTCTGTCCAACGAGCTAGGACTTCTTCTCCAGGTTTAAAATCCTATTTTAAACAAATTTAGTAATTAATATTCAAATAGATTTGTTTTCCTAAAAAATAAGTATTATGTGCTAGAGAGATTTAATGTAGGAAAACAAGTCGAGCAGTTTACAAAAGTCCAAGACAAAATAAATGTACCACTTACAACAAATTCCTCATCATCCTTCAGCCCCTCTTTCCTCAGTGCTGGTCGCTCCAAAGGTCGCAACCTGTTGCTGTCCCAGTAAATCCACTCATCGTAGCGATGGCTCCAGCGTTCAAAATGCACCAACATCTTCCCCTCCTCATAATCTATCTTCTCAATTCGAGATGGGTACCTGGAGTGTTAAACACAGACTGCTAAGTCTCAAAGGTTTCTGTCTTGGTTTAGATACAATAGTGGCTAAATGACCTTTCAGAAAGTTGTATGAACACTTTGTAATGAAAACTCTCTAAGTCTGAAAAAGGCTAAGTAACTGAAATGACTGGATAACATTTAGTTCAAGAATCTATAAACAACATTGACAATTGGAATCAGGCAGAATTGAGCTCCTTCTGCCCTTCAGAGAAGTACTGAAAGAGATTCAGAAGTGCATAGAATCTCCTAAAAAAATGAAAGTTAATTACATCACTGATTTTTTTTTACCAGCATTTATATTAGAGCTGCTCTAAAGTTAACAATGTGTATGGAAAAGAAAGACCACAGGAAAAGGACAGCTGCCTTTAACTTCCACAACCTGTTTTTCAAACCAAGTACTACTGTGAACCAATAGTAAAAGAGCAGACCTTGAGCAACCAATTTCCAATCCTACTGCAAATTCTTTAGCTAGAAAGGCAACTGACATATATAGGGAACCTGTCGACATCATCAATTTTGAATATAATCTCTCCAAAATACTGGTTGTGCTCTTAAAGGAGTCTCTAACACTATGTTCTGACTAAAATATAAGTTATCAGGAAGTACAGGCCTTCCTTATTTCTTACTACTTGGACCTGCACATTAAAACAAAAGATGTCAATCTCAATTTGCTCCTTCTTTTCTCCTGTCCTACTTCTTCAACTGCAGTGATGTATACAGCTTCCCAACATTAAAATATCTCAGGAGCTACCAATTAAGAAAATCTCTGATTTTTCTACTGCAGCCACATTTTACCCGCACATCAGAATTCAGAGTCCAAGCTCTTGATGCATTTCTCTCAACCATACATTTCAGAAACACTAAATATTTTTATATCCATTCTTTAAGACCCCATATTTTTCTCGCTGAACTTCCAAAAAAACCCATAAAGTCATAGTCTAAAACTGAAGCCTCTCATTTGCCGCTCCCCTAATAAAATCTTTTTCAAGTCCCTCTTTCAAGTCTTTCAAAGAAACAAGATCAGCCCCTCTCCCCCCTCTAAAGTAGACTGACAACAACAATCTAAAAAGAAAGGTGGAGCTGATGATGTACAGCATTAAAACAGCTTGTAAAACTCTTGGGTCAAACCTGTATCCCAGCAGCAACATTCTGGTTTAACTTTGAACAAGGCTTCAAGAAAATAAGTCAGCCATGAGATGGTTTCTCTAAGCCTTGCCTCTGATTATACTTTAAATCCATGTGCTGCTACACTCAAAAATTTTATTATTAGAAAATTTATTAGAACATTTCTAGGTTTTTTTCATCTTCCGGAGTGTTCCAGTTTCAGACTTAAAATGTGATACTAAAACATCAGAATAAGCAGGAAGAGGAGAAAAGCAGAGGAAAAGTCAAGTTACTGTTACAAAGGCAAGTGTGTGAGAAACAATGTAACCTAAGGGAGTTCCAAGCAGAAGGACGACACAGATGATATTTAACAGAGGGAAAGAAGGGAAAAAACAGAAAAACAACAGGAGAGAAAGTTCATTTTGCAGCAATCAGAAATGGAAGCCAAGAACAGTGATTCCCTTTCCCAGTACAGCGGGAAATTTTAGGTTTATTGCATGCCAGCCACCAGTGATGCAAAACTATGGCCGTTTTACAAAATTCAGGGCCAAGCAGCTGAGAGAGAATTCTCCTTTTCCTACACATCTCCAGTGCAAACACTCTGCTCCCACTATGGGGCATCCCTATAGCAGTTCCCTTGTTAGGCCAGCAGCAGCCAAGACACCATTCCAAGCACTTTGTAAGACAACAGGAGGGATAAACTGGGAAAATACAGCACTGACATGGAAAGAGCAAACCATGTAAGAGGGGAAAGTGAGATGCAGAGCAGAGTTTAGAGACAAATATTTTAAAATTAAGATACTTATAAAGAAAATGCAGCAAACCAAGAATCAAGACATTAATATACATACAAAATCAAAAGAGAAAAGGTTAGCATCAGTTAATAAAAGAAGACGTGCAAAATTTTAATTCTCATTAGAGATCACATTATATAAAGACATGAAGCTTAAGGTATTTATAGGTTAATTTCTCTTTGCTAAATACAATTTCTGCTATCATCTTTCTAAAAATCCATTATATGTCCTTAGAGATGGAACTGCCCAAGCCATATGCAATTGGTTATTAGGTAACCCAAACACAACTCTGTATTTAGCAACAAACTATTATTCCCAATGTCCACTAAATTTAGCCACATATTGTGCCACAAATATGTACAAACAGTAATATTTCACAATACTGATCCCACAGTGGAAAAGACCAGAACATATGTATTGCAGAACTTACTCTTGTAAATTATCCCCTGCACAAAAAGATCTTTCTGGTGATTTTGTACTTTGACTGAAAAGAATTGATTTCATTAATTAAAAATATTAACATAAAGATGATTACACCTCTTACACTTCAGAACTTTTATGTAGAAGTTACTTCCATCACAAAGTTATAATTAGGCATTTGAAGAAGTACTGCAAAGGGAGACACAAATACCATTCTTTACAGTACCAAAGAATAGTAATATCTAAGGACGAAATAACTTCCCAGTCAGGTTAACTCCCCCAGCAAGTAAGCCACACTAAGTCATCACAATGAAACTGATATACACTGGATGTGACAACACTTCATCAGAACAAACCAGAAAAATTCCACTCTGAAATTTGCGGGAAAAGTCTTCACTTAAAAAAAAAAACAAAAAAAAAACAAAAAACCAAAAACCTCAGACCAGCACACTGAGATTCATTAATCAAGGAATTTCTTTTATGGGAAGAAATAATATTCTGCAAATTTTGGGTGTGATTTTTCAAAAAGCTGCTGGAAAGAGCATGTAGTAATCAGAAATGAAGTTCATCCAAATTTCAGGGGGTTTGGTCTTGCTTTTCCAAGAGGGAAAGAGAGAACTGCTGTTACCTGAATTTACCTGCCCAGTTTACACATTGCATACCCTCCATTCTCAGGTTCCAATCTTGGCACTTCCAACCCATTAGAATTATGCAATATTTTTGGAAAGCCTCAGAATTTGATATGGCTTAAAAACTAATACTATGAAGCCCTGGTCAGGCAACAACAGTGTTCTAACATTTATACAATAAAAAAATAATTGAAAACTTCCCACTTCACTTTTTGACAGTGTAAAAAAAAAAAAACCAAACCACCGAGTATTTTTTTCTAATGCACTCAACACACATTAACAACCACATAGACAACACTTCTTTTTTACATCATCCTTTTAACCCTTCAAAAGTGACCAAGAAGTGGTGAACTGCCTTGTAAAATGGGACAACAAGCATTTCAGACTATAAAAAAGAATACAAAAATATTAGTAAATCTGCCCAACTTTGTACCTACAAAGTCTACAAACACACTCATACTTCTTGCCTTTCTAACATTGGTTTAAAAAGTACTTCCTTCTGCCTCATAGGGGATATAAAACCAAATACCTTCCGTACTGACTTCTCACAAATAGGGTTCTAGTGTCTGCAAAATCTGCAAACATCTATTTCTAGGTCCCCACATTTATTATACATATATTGTATTAAATATAAAGCAGACTTCACTTCCCTTTCTAACACTTACCAAGTAACCCAGTCAACTGAAATCCAAAGTAAGGACTGTAGCAAGTAAGATTTCTCAAAGTCTTTCAGGGAGAAGACCACCTCCATACTGGGGGGTAGGGGAAGTGTGTGGAAATCCATCCAGATAATCAAATATACCAGGAGGTAGTACTGTTGTTCCAACAACTAACCTATTTCAGAAGGTTGTTTCCATTCCAGAAACCAGGGCCATCTATCTGTACTTCATTACCTGACTTAAGAGTTTAGATCGAGCAAATCAATAAAGACTACGGTCTCGAAAAACAACAGGGTTTTTCCAATCAGTATCTGCTGCTTACAGGACAACCAGTAGAGAGCTACAGCCAAAAAAGCCCACACAAAAATATTAAAAAAGGAAGAGATGCATCTTTAAATACATCAGCTTTGCAGGAACAGTGTCCTACTTGTGGGAGCTGTCAGCTCAAGAACTGCCTTACACACAGACATGCACTTGCAGGTAAGTACAGCTCTACTGCTTTTTCATTTGCTCTGTCAGCAAAGAGAGGCAGAAGAGGGTGCATGCACATGTATCAGTTTTTGTATGAGATCACAGGGGAATTCAAACTGAAAGCAACCTCAGAAAGCCTCTAGTCCAACCTCCCACTCAAAGCAGGGTCAGCTATGGCAACAGGCCAGGTTTTCCAGTCTTGAAAAACTCCCATGATGGAGACTCCACAAACTCTTCAGGCAACCTGATCCACTGCTTGACTGTCCCAACAGGAAAAAAGATTCTGCTTGAACCGAGTCTGAATATCCCATTTCAGCTTGTGCCTGTTGTTTTGTTCTGTAACTACCTGTAGGGTTTGGCTAAGTCTTGTTGATGAAAGCCCTGCAGGTATCAGAAGACTGACAGTGGGATTTCTGAAGCCTTCCCCAAGTTAAAGAAATTATTTCCTTCCTTCCTCTTCATAGGTCATACACTCCTCCAGCCCCTAATCATTTCACATACTTAATAATTTTCTATTTTATAATTTCCAATCCCATCTCATTTATTATCTGCTGACAGAGGATCAGTTTTGATTAGAGCTGCAGTTCATAGTTTGCTTTAGCAAATTTAAATGGAACAAGTGGTACAAGTTCTTCATGCAAGATGATCTCCTGCAATAGCACAACTGCTGTACTTGATAAAGAAGCAATAAAGCAAAAATAAACATGCTCATTGACAGCCTGTCTTTGCTGACCAGTCTGACCAGGCTTTCTTCTACTCTGTCACAGTACATGACAAACGACCAGTGATCCAAACACCGCCTGCAAAAACTTCATTTTAAACTACAGGGCTTTAAAGCACTAAGTAGTCAAGGTACACCAATGATGCCTCAAAAGTTTACAAAACATAAATATAACACCAGATGCCAGGAGTTCAATTTCAGCAACTACTACATAGTTGAAAATTAAAGACCTGCAAAAGTACCTCAGAAAATAAAAACATGTTTTACTGTATTTTTTCTTACATCCTCTGAAAGCCTTTCTCGATTAACATTTTAAGTAGTCATGATGATTAGATGACAGCAAGCTTTCAGAAAAATGGAGGAAAAAAATCCTTTTAAAGGCTATTTTTCAGCAAGTGTTCACAATTTGTCACTTGCAGAAAGACTGAGCTAAGCAATACCAATGCTCTTCAATTTGGCTTTTGTTAAAAAATAATAAAGAGATTTCATGTAAGTTCAGCAAATTTATTTTCTTTGAAGTATGTATTTCTGCATGCAAATGAGCAGAATGCATACAGATTATATATAGAAAGAATTTTAAAAACATCCACCACCCCCTTATGCAACAGAAAGCCAACTAAAAAAAATCCCATAGACTATCATTGCAACCCTTGACACCCTAATAACAGCACAACAGTAGATTTTCTGTCACAAGGTATTTGGGTTTGTGTTATTAGTTCATTTTGCATTACTAAGTATTACTGTATTTCAAGTTCACTTGAAATATAGTCCTGTTTTCATTATTGCTGCAACTGCTAAATTCTGACATTAACTTTCTTCTGTATATGCCACCATAAAAATTTACATGTGTTTAAACTTGACCTGGGTCTACCTGGTGTACAGATAATAAATCAAATCCTGGAAAGTTCAGGATAGATTCTGTTCTTCCTGAAAACATCCAGCAACTCAGCTGCAGAGCTTGTGACATGGCCATGGCTGGCAATCCAAACCTAGACAACAACTCCAGCACTGACATGCAACCCTTCCCTGGAAAAAGCTGGGCAAGTCTGACACAAACCTCACACTGGATATGCAGTGATATTTTTTTTTTTACTATTATGCTATTTTTACATATTAATTTTTGTTACCTGATTACATAGCAAATTATCTCTAGTCACAGAAGATGTTATAAAAAGTTTTATTGCTCTATTTTGGATGTTTTTCTTATGCTGCCATTCAGTTACAGAATCAGTATGCTGAAAACCCAGCCTACAGCAACAGGTAAGAACAAGAATAGTTCTATAAACCAAGTCCTTTAGAGTCCATTTATTAAGACAAACACTCTTCCTATAATTAAAATCAAAGCTCTACAAATAAAAAGTTTGACCCAACTTTTTATACAGAGCACATAACACTGGAGCAGACATGTCAGTAATACACAGACTTCCCTCTCACATCACTTGGAGTTAAAAGGATGAGATATCTACAGGACCATGCTGAACTTTTCAGGAATGCAACAGAAAAGCAGCTACACACCTCTACATTTCCTAGCCTTAATAAATCAGAGAGCAGCTAAGAAAAAACTTCTAAGTAGAAGCATCAACTACTTCTGTCACCTACTTCAACAAAACTAGGGATTTTTCAAACTCAACTAGCATAGCCAGCACACATCAACAAATTAGCCCACTTGCTTTAATAAAATTTTTACTAACAATTTTTTTCATCAGAACAGGTCCTTTCACAACATACATGCTGTGCAGCACAGTCCTTGTGCCCACAATTTCCATTTCACAGTCTGTGAATTCACAATATGCCTGGGTGGTTGCAGAGTCACAGTTTTAAGCACTTAATTCCTCCAGCTGTTTAATTAAAAACACAACTGCATCTGCCTATCCCATGAACTCCAATTCAGGATGTGGGTTTGTTTTTTTTTTTAGGATCAGTTTTGTGAACCTGTCAAGTGTGACAACTGAATACAAAACAACTCCCCTTGCATGCCTTCAAATGAAGACAAAAGAAGTCTTTGATCATGAAGTTTGCCTCACTGACACATGGATCACCTCGGCCATGACACTGAATTCCACACTTCTCCAGGAAGGCTCTTTGCTTGCTGCAGCTGCACAAGCCACCAAGAGCAAATAAGCACAAACTTGTAGAAAAGTTTAGCTTGATTTCTGAAGTGAGAATATTTTCCTAAAAGCTAACACTTTTAACAGACTTAGATGGAAATTCATAAAGTTCACGTGTGGAAATTGTCAACTGATAGGTGCACTGATTTTTATAATCAATTATCAAAGCACACAAACTACACAAAATAATTATGCTCTCAGCAAACACTACACAATGTCCTCCATACCATTTCTGCAAATAGTCCAGTGCCTCCAAACGAGCACCAATCTCAAATGTGATTCCAGGACGATTTGGAGGCTTTTTACTCATCTTGATATTATCTTTTTCACCACCTTTGAAGGAAGGAAAAAAGTTGCATTAAAATACATTATGTTGTTTAAAATGTGTCATTGACAGCAAATATATTCCAGAGGGTGCAAAGATGCAAAACTGTGATCCTGACTTTGTATTAACTGCTTAGCTTACAGAAATACAGTCAAGGCCCAAAAAAAAAAACAAAAGGCATAAGAAACCTTCATACATACTCATTCAGATTTCTTTCTCTTCAAAAATATTTGTCATTAACCTTAAGTCAAAAAATAAGAAAAAAACACAGTGCTCATCTCTTTAACTCTACTAGACTGTAATTCCTTCAAATAATTTTTAAGCAAAATTTTAATTTACCTATAATTAACATGTGTGCTCTCCTCGGGTGAAGAAAAGGCAAACCGAGAAAAACTTACCTTATCAAGAACAGATAAACATGGCCTAAAGGACAAGTACAATTAAATTAGCACAAACAAAAAATAAACAAAATCCTATACTGAGTATTCCTATGCACTCATAGCACTGAGTTCCAGCCACAACTGCCTTCTAATTTTATTTTGCAGCTCAGTCACTATCAAAAAGAAAAAAAAAACCTAAAAAACCTCTCTGTGCAACTACTGTCGCTACCACCGCGACTTTCCGCGGTGCTCCCTGCCCCGAGCCCACCTGCCGAGCGGGAGTGCCGGGATGCGGGGCCGGAGCTCGCAGCCCCGCACTGCGGGGGGAGCGACACCCGGCCCCCGCTCCCCAGCGGGGCTCCCCCGCCGGCCCCAGCAGCGCGGGCACGCCAAGGGCGCAGCGCGGCGGGGCCGGGAGCGGCGCCCGCCCCCGGCACGTGACTGCGCAGGGGCGGGGGCGAGGCAGACAAAGAGCGGCGGCCCCGGCCGGCAGCGGCGGCAGCGGGACCGGGGCACGGCTTAACAAACACCGCCCCAGCTTAGCGTAACAACACTGCCCCAGCTTAACAACACTGCCCCAGGAACAGCGGAGGGGGCCCTCCAGCGGAGGGAAGGGAAGGTGTTCAATTAAGGCACTGGAGCGTTTCTCGTGTTGGCCAGGGCTGAGGGAGTTGCGGCTGTGCAGCCCCAGATGAAGCGGCTGAGAAGGGAGCTCGTCCCGGAGGATCTGAAGGGAAGGGTCAGGCCCTGCTCGGTGCTGCCAAGTACAAGAGGGAAAGGGCAGAGTGCACGGGGGTTTTCAGGTGAAAAGGAGGAACTTTTGTGTGCAGTGACCCTACACAGAAACATTGCCTGAAGAGGGTGTGGAGTCTCTCCACTAATTCACAATCCTGTGCAATGTGTTCTAGAATGACCCTGCTTAAGCCAGGAGGTTGGACCAAGTGACCCACTGCTGTCCCTTCCAGCCCGACCAGTTCTGGGACTCTGGGATCTGTAATTCTGTAATAGGGACAAAAAGACTTGGGGCAGTCACTGAGATGGTCCTGGAGGTGCCACAGCCTGTGGCTGGTGGCCACAGGACAGCCCCAGCAGCAGCCTCGCAGTGGCCTGTCTTTGTCTCTGTTTTTCACCCATGAAACCAGCTTCATCTGACCCACAGATTTTCTTGCTTTTATTCATCCCAGCCTCCCCCCGTGCTGCTGAGAGCTGGGTGGGTGCTTGGCAGCTGGTGAACAGCCCACTGCTGTCCCTGTGACACCCAGTGTTGTGGTGACTGCTGTGCTGCTTATCACTGTGTTCTGCTCTGCCTGAGAGGCCTGTGATAAAGGCAATGACCGTGAGCCAAGTCTGGCATTTGGCCCCTGCATTGCTGCCATCCCAGTGCTCAGGGAACAATTTCATGGAGTCTTTTCTTCTATTCTTCTCCAGGACAGATGTCCCCAAGCTTGTAATGGCAAGATCAGCATCATCACATCCCATGGATGTGATCAGTAAAATAAATGTCAAGTTTCCACCAAATAATAAAAAGGCATAGTGTACTTCTGGAAACTGTACATTCTGGATCATAGAAGCTAGGGAGTCCTTTCCATTAAGTGACCTATAAGAACTTTTTTGAGTGTATTGAGTTTGTGTGGTAAGACTCTGGTAGTGGGGAGCTTCTGTGAGAAGGTGCCAGAAGCTTCCCCCATGTCCACCAGAGCCAAAGCCAACTGGGTCTAAGACAGATCCACCACTGGCCAATGCTCAGGCCATCAGTGACAACGTTTTGCCTTGGGTGGTAACTGGTGAGTGATCTCAGGGGTGATCCTTAGGACTGACCTCTCCTCTTGCCCTGGAAGCCTTTTGTTAAATTTACTCTCCTCTGTTCATTTGGGAAGGGCAGTGAAAGAGTGGCTTTGGTGGGCACCTGGTGTCCAGACAAGGTCACTAAACAGCATCAGGACAGACAGGACAGTTCGTATGGCAGCCCTTGGAGCTGTCCAGAGAGTGCCCCCTGGACCAGCTGTGAGAAACATGCTGTGTGCTCACCTGGAGCAGAAAACACCTGATTGACCTCTGGGGTTCTGGGGCTGAGGGAATCAAGGGTCTGGGATGTACCTAGGTGTTCACAGGGAGGGGCACCTCTACACATAATGCAACTGAAGCCGCATGGAATAAGGGGGTTGGATTGATCACACAATGGGCTCAGAGGAGGAACTCCCAGTGCCCCTGAATGCTGAAAGAGGTCACCATTGAGCCAGGAGGCAGAGATTTCAGAGCAGCATCTCAGGAGGTGGCTCAAGCCCAAAAGTATAATAAATAGCAGAAGGCAAAAGGCAATATGCTGTGTTTACCAATGTTTCCTGTTGTGTTGTGCAAAACCATCTGACGTGGAAAGCTACTGGGTGGAGCACAAGTCGTGGACCAAATTAATTGTTTGCACTTGTATGGATGTTTGGGGGATGTCCCACAGACTAAGGGAGTGACATCTGTGCATGTGTCACTGGAAAAGAAGGGGGATCATGATTGATGGTGATGATGATAACACGCCAGTGTGGTGGCTGTTGCTGAATAACACCTCCACAATGTCAGGGCTCACTTTTTTTTCACTTTTTTTTTCACTTTTTTTTCACACTCATCTTCCCCAGCATGCATGCAAGGGATGGGCAAGAGATTGGGAGGGACAGTTGACCTAAACTGGCCAAAGGGATATTCCATGCCATAAAACGTTGACCTCAGCAAGAAAATCTGGGGCAGCACAAGAAGACTGGTGGGACATTTTCTTCCAGGGTGACCATTGCTGGAAGATGGAGGGGTATAGGTCTGCTGGTGGGAAGTGCTGAGTGCTTGCCTTTGAATTGCTTGGGGGTTTTTTTTGATTGGGTTGTTTGGTTTAGGGGTTTTTGCTTTCCTTCATTTATTAAACTGTCCTCATCCAGATCTGCAAACATTTCTGGAGGTGCTGGTTGACAGCGACTGAACACGAGCCAGCAGTGTGCCAAGGAGAAAAATGACATCCTGGCTTGTATCAGAAACAGTGTGGCCAGCAGGACTAGGGAATGAGATTGTCCCTCTGTACTCAGCACTGGTGAGGCCGTATCTTGAATCCTATGCTCAGTTTCGGGCCCCTCACTGCAAGAAAGACATTGAGGTGCTGGAATGGTCCAGAGAGTGGCAGCAGAGCTGGTGAAGGGTCTGGAGCACAAGTCTGATGAGGAGCAGCTGAGAGAGCTGGGGGTGTTCAGCCTGGAGAAAAGGAGAATCAGGGGGGACCTTATCAGTCTCTACAACTCCCTGAAAGGAGGCTGTACTCAGGTGGGGTTGGTCTTTCCCCCAGGCAGCAAGTGGTAGGACTTGGAAAAGGCATCAGGTGTGCCAGGGGATGTTTAGATTGGATATTAGGAAAATATTCTTTACAGAAAGTGTGGTCAGGCATTGGAACAGGCTGTACAGGGAAGTGGTGGAATCAACATTCCTCAAAGTGTTCAGAAACAAATGTGGATGTGGCAGTGAGGGGCATGGGTTAGTGGTGAACAGAATGGTGCTGGGTTAATGGTTGGACTCAATTGTCTCAGAGTTCTTTTCCAACCTTAATGGTTCTCTAATGAGTCTCACTTTTGTTCTTCCCATTCTCTTCCCTGTGCCACTGCTGGGGGAGTGAGCGAGTGACTGTGTGGGCGTTTGGCTGCTGTTCAAGGTCAATCCATCTGCTTCATTTAGTCCCCAGGAGGCTGCCTCCCACTTGAGGAGTCTTTATAGACAGACTGTTCAGTAGGATATTTTAGAGTATTTGCTATGATATTTTTTTTTCCTCCCTTTCCCTTGTTACCATTTTCTGGAAGGTGGTGGCAAACAGAAGAGACTGAAGGAAGAAGGAGACTTGAAGAAAAACAAAGGAAACAAAATAAGAAAACAAAGAAGGAAGGGAAGGAAAGGTTTTGTTTTTTTTCCTTTTCTTTTTTTTTTAAGTAAAAAAAAAGTTGCCATTGCATTCACTTGAATTCTCCAACTCTTACTACTCTTGGTGTAGTTTTGATGCCATCTTTGGTTTAGAGGCTTTGCCACAGGATAGTGAAGGTTGTTGTGTAAGGAATGAGCTCTAAGTGGCAAGGAATGTCCAGCACCAGGATAGTTAGAAAAATGGAGGTGCTTCTGTGCAAGGAGAGGGAATGGGGGAAGATAAAAGGCTGTGAGGATGGAGCTGGGTACATGGGAGTCACTGAATCATGCTCTTCACTGCTGAAGGCTGAGTTATGCCGTGGTGTGGGATGGGCTCAGAGCAGTGTGTGGCACCCCATTTCTTTGCTGCTGACACTGTAGAGAGGGAGGCAGAGCTGGCAGGAGGTGTCAGAGGCACAGCAAGCCCCTTGTATTGATTAATATGGACTAAAAGCACATCTGTGAACACAGAAGAGAATGAGGAGGACAAACCCACATAATCCCCAGCCCTGGCAGCTCCCAGGAGCAATCAGCCCATCAAAGGCCATTTCCTCAATCTCAGAGGAGCACAGGGACAAATGGCAGGTGGGAACCAAATTAAAGACTTAGAGGAAGGGACACCTGATGCAGGGTGCCATGTGTGACTCCTACCACACTGCCTTTAGAGCAGCAGAAGTCCACTTGTGGTCCAGCAGCACAGGGCAGCATTTCTTTGCACTATTTTCAAAATATTTAGGAAGACAAGGAGCCCCAGCCACTCTCCCCATCTCTTTGCTGCCATTCCATGTATACCCACCCCTGCCCTGCTGTAGTCCACAGGCAACCACAGCCCCTGCTGGCCCTGGCTTGCCTCCCTAACTCTGCCCATGGCCCAGGATCCTGTTTCAGCAACACTTTTCCACCATAAAGCCAGCAAAGAGCAATTTAGGCCAAGACATTTTTTATATTCTTTTAGCACAAAACCATATCTGATACTTAAGTCTTGTCTCCTAGGAAAACAAGGCCTACATGGCTGCATTGCCTGTCTGCCTGCCATTTTTCCTTTCTTCACTTACTCCTAAAACTTCTATCTTACTTCAAGCTTGACACAGAAAGAGACACATCACATTATTCCAGCTTTTCCGTTAAAAGCTCAGCTGGACAGGGGAGGGTGACTGAGTTGACCTCTCCACAATGGAAAGACTCAGTGGTTATTTTCCTTCAGACACCAAAGCATGACAAGACCGAGATGCAGGAAAAGAGATCTCACTATTTCTGCTCCTCGCACAATTTGGTGTTTAATCTTGTCACGAAGCACGTCTTCAGCTTCGTCATGAATATACAGGCCATAAATTGGAAACCAAACTGGATGGGAGTTTTTATACTGCCAGTCAGTGACTCACTGAGACTCAGAGAGGGGGAGAGAGGATTTCATAATCAGCTGAGCATGAG